CTTTTTAATTTCACTTCGATAATATTGTCGTTAGTATTAAAGTATCTGTATATTGTAAACTTTTAATATTTACATTGTATATTACAATATTTAATATATTTATACTAGAAAAAAAGTGTCAAAAAAGTGCTTCAATTAATGAAAAGATTATTTTACTTTTGTATTATCCCAGGATTGTTAACGTGGCGTTATACAGAGATAAAAATATACATATTATAATATGTTTCCGAACCTAACTTGTTTTTCTACATATTTTTTAAATTTTATTACAAGACCTGAATTCATCCGAATATATTTTATGAGACCCATATATGTACCTTAAAAATTTTAAACTAGTATTTTCTTTGTTTTTCAATATGAAAATCAGTGTCGACAAATATCATCGTCGTATCAACTAAAAAAAACCTTCAAAATATCATGATCATTATTCATTAATAATATTATTGTTTAAATAGAATCAACACGTATAATCCTGTCAAACGAAATCTAATCGGTGAAATCTGCATAAAATATTATCATAAATCATAATATTTAGGTAGTAATTTAAAAAGTTACTAACGAACAATTAAAAACCGAACATTAATATATATTTTTCCGGTCAGTTTCCGAATCTAACAGCATTAATTACAGCGGAGTGGCGGAACGAAGTGTTCAGGGAGGCGGAGGGAGCATGGACTACGGTCCTCGATAAATCAATTTAATTTAATTTAATTCGAGCCGAGTTCCTCCTGAGTCCTGGACGTCACGCGAACTACCGACCTTGTCTTATAATAGACAAACCACAGGGAAATGAAGCTATTGGTATACATGCGTACTAATTATACATGAAGCTTCTCCAAGTAATTGCTTTGATAGTAAAAAACTGCACTGAATTCGTATTAGGTACACGACGATGTAATATAACTCACACAATGTATATACATACAAAAACAGATGAGATACTAATTCAATTTGTTTCCATGAAAAATGAATTTGTAATACAATCCACGTTCATTATTTCGAGGATAACTAACCTCAATAGTATAATGGTATTAGTGATCCGCGTACAACGAGAAAAACCCCATTCAAGATCAGTATTTAACTTCATTCTCATATGTAATTTATTATTACGTCACTTAAATAATTATGAAAAAATTCACATAAATAAACATGTAGCTTTCAATCTTTACAGTAAATTATATAAACTTTTTAATGGTACTGAACATGTAACAAATATAAATACTACTGTTTAAAGTTAGAGCAAATCAAATTGGACATCTTTTATTTATAATAATTAAATATTCGAATGTGCCACCGACGCTATGCTCGTGGACCACACGCCGCGGTCACGTCCCGGACGAGATCGGACGATGACACCCTTGAAATGTTTTTAATAGCGTGATTTATAGAGCAAATTAAACATTTGACTTGCCGTGAATTCGATGCTGAGTGAATCAGTCATGCATGGACAAGCCGGCTGCTTGTGGATAATCGTGAGAGGTACTACTGTCTACTTCAGACTTTTAACACACAGATAATAAAGCAACAACCCACACAGATACACAAATGACATTTGACAAATATAAATCTAAATAAACAAATAATAAGATAATTTTTAAATCACTTTTTATTTAAATCCATTAATTTATATGTAAAAATAAATTTAAAATTTGTGAGTAAAAATAATACAGATAATAAATATACGTTTCACACGGTTTAATAAAGCCAGTGCCTATTTATCTGTTCCTACGCACTGGCATCTGATTGATACGCGCTACTGTTGAAAGTAGTTTTTGTAAGACACTTGTCGTGAGAATTTCTTTACCGATAGAATTTCTCAAACCGCTTCACTTACAGTAATAAGTCATATGTACTTTTTATGACATATACTGATACGTCATAAAAAGTGTTTATTATTATGATCATTCTTGCAACATGTGCATTTATTAATTAATACTAAATGATTTATGTAATCTAGACTTTCACTAAAACTTACGAAGTACAAATTTGTTGAACACCCTGTAGATGATAAAAATTCTAGAATCATGAATATCTATCTATTTTTATAGTAAATACAACTACATAACTCTTAATTCTCTATTACAAAAGGTTCAGTACAAAATAAAATACCACTTTCAATTTCATGTATTAATTTAGGAAATAGACTAAAATTAACAATTTATATTTTAGATAACTTTATATTTATTCGAGCGAAACTACAGATGAAACCAAGTGCAACGTAGATTATTAAAAAAATAAATCCAACAATTTAGTAATTTCGCCTGATACTACATTATTTCACGTATTCAATTTCTAAACGTTTATTAATTTTATGAAATAAATTTAAATCATTTAAAAAGTGCAAATCCTAAATGCAGTATCTATTTGTGGACTGCTTTAAATTATTTTTAAAAAAAGATTAAATAAGACAACAAATAAAACACTCCGTGAGAGGAAAAAAATTATTACAATTATATAAAAAACTATCCCGTAGCGGTGATCTCAGTAGAGCGTTAAATTTACATTTTTATTATTTTATTTTAATTATAAGCGCAAGATATGCTCTTGTTTCCGGATTAGAAAAGTTAAGCCATTTTTAAGATGTACATACATTATTATGTACATTTGTATAAAACCTTTTTTACAGTCCGAACTCTTTAATAATTTAATGTAGAAAAAAAGTGTTGATTTAAATTTAATTAAATTTTAAAATTACAGAGAGCTTTTGAATATATTAATTTGAATATTCAGTTAATAAAACATTACAATTTTATTTATTGCAATAGTATTGTTGCGAAGTATTCGGACCGTTGTAAATATTTTTTAATATGGCCACTGACTGTCATCAGGCTGTCAAAACGAATTCGTCATTGTCATCGTCTTGGGTGACCATTTATTATTATATTTATAAATTATATTTTATATTCAAATATACCTTTAAGGTAAGTATTAAATACTCTTTTCATAAAATATCTTTGATATTGTCGTATTTTGTCCCCAATTGTTCTTAATTTTATTAAAAAATAAAATACGTCATATATACATAAGCTAAAGACAGCTTTTTAATTTCAATTTGAAGGAATTATTAATGTATTGAAGTGTGTGAAAGTTTTTGGTTGAATGTATTATGACTTTCAAACTATACCAATTAATATTATTACTTAAATTGAACTATTAATTACTTTTTTATAACTTCACCAAAAAAATGCTTCAAATATCTTACAAAATATACCTATAATATTAAAGCTTATCTACAAAATATAATGAGTTTCTTCGCAGTCATCGGAAATCCCAAACGTCATTTTAAAAGAATTTAATTTTCTATATTTAAACACTTTTATTTTTTAAAACACGAGCATTAGAAATATACGCCGCTTTTTTTGTACCTACGATTCATCAATCTACATTCTACAACATGAACATTTATCATTTAGAAAATTTAGGTAAACACTTTTATTAGTAATATCAAAGCAAATTTACTTATTTCAGATTTATTACCTACTGAATAGTCAAATAAACTTAAAGCATATGACTGAAACTAATATTTTCGGATTACAACGCGTACTCAAGGTAATGCAAAGTAAGCGAAACGTCGGGAGTATGTAGTTATTAAAAATAATAAAATAACGAATAGTAATCCTAAAATATTAATTTCATTTATATGTTACTCGCGAAAGTCTTAAATCTGATTCAATACATATAAATTAATTACTCATAGAAGTAGCTTCACGGTACAAAACCTTTGCTCGGTCATTCTCGCTCGACCGTTCTGTACTCATACATACATATATGGCGATGATATAATCATTGCGAACATCTGATAAATATCGTTAGCACCTTCTGTAGTATAATTTAATTGAATAATTACTTTGCTCAGCCGCCCTTGACACGGGCAAATGTCAACTTTATATATAAGAACTTGTCAAATGGACGTAATTACGATTAACGTCTTGACAGATAATGTCATAACTAGATTCTAGTATATGACAGTTTATAAAGAGTAAAACTAATATTATAGAATTTATTACTTGATTATTTTCAGATATAGGGATGGAATATACTTTTATATAATTATTGGAAATCAAATAATCTCATAGATAATTTTTTGTCAGATAGTCTTAAAACATCAAATTTCGTTCGTATTATTGATTATAGTCTGTAAAATATTTAATATAGTATTAATCAGCTTAAAACGTTACGACTTGTATGAAATTATGAAGATTCCTATAGTCCGAAGGCACAGATAAAAAAATCCTGCCATTAAATATTAAAAGGAATGTTTTCTAGTGTAATTATGATCATTAAGTTTTATAATAAATGCATCCACACAAAAAGCGATCTACCGTTCACATAATCGTTGACATGAAAACTAATTTTTCACTAACATCAAACACCTCGGGCTAAACGTTCTTTTCATTATTAATTACTGTAAAAACATCGAAAACATTACATGATTACATTCACCCTGAATGGATACGGTATCGTCACGGTCTATTGTCTTCAGCTACGAGGGTTGAAATATTCATTTTATATGGAATATAAAGTTACACTTATTAAAAAAGTTTGGAACAGAAAACATGACAAAATATTGTTGCTTTTTCGTTCTTATAACGTATGGAGGGAAGAACGTTTTAAGTGCTCATATTTTGACAGATTATAAAATATGTAAGTATGAAAAAAAAGAACCGTTTTAAAACATATGTATTTATTTATTAATAAAACAAATAAAAATTAAGTATTGCAATTTTTAAAAATATTATTTTTTTAACTAATAATACATAAATAAAAAAATTAACGATTTTTTAAATTTTACATTTTATTTTATTTATATACAAAGCTAAGACTAACTATACGGAATAATTTAATACAGATAAATTGTTTTTATATTCACAAAAACTTTATATTTTACATAATTATATTTTCTTTTTAAATACATAAAGGATATTTGAAATGGAATGCTAAGAAATGTTGAAAACAAACATTTTCTAATATTAGGTTATTGAAACGCGTATTTATTTTACCTACCTATATTGGTATAAAGGTTCTAATGTTCGCAGAGGGAATAAATTATGTAAATCTATGTTTATGGGTATTTGTAAATTGGAAAAGAGCGGTAAATGTAACTGAGACCAAATTGACGGATTCCACATACTAGCAGCGAGAGCCAACAGTTCAGGTTGTGGGAAAGATAGACTCGTTTCCTCACTTACAACACTTTCAACACTTTTATCCTCATTATTACTTAATAAACTATCGATTGTGAACAGTTTCTTCGGTCTAACGACCTTCGGACAACTGTCCTGATCGAGTCTCTGTGTTGGTCTAGACTGTTTCTCAACGAATTCTTCTCTTAAATCATGTCTTTTATCGAGTCTGAAGCGTTTTCTTCTCCGTAATAAGGATCCATTCTCGAACATATCAAAGGCTTGCGGGTGGAGCGTCCAATACGCACCTTTCCCTGGACGATCCGGACGACGAGGCATCTTCACGAAGCAGTCATTATATGACAGATTGTGTCGCAATGAGTTCTGCCACCTCTGTGTATTACGTCTGTAATATGGGAACCTGTCAGTAATGAACCGGTATATCTCTGATAAAGGCAGCATCCTCTCCGGCGAGCTCCAGATGGCCATGGCTGTGAGCGATATGTATGAGTACGGTGGCTTCTGGTCGCCGTAGGATTCTCGGGTCGGTCGCGGCATGTTTGCCGGCGCGGTAGAGCGGTAGGTCCAAACTGAAGGCGTGGTTGTGGGCCCGGCTCTTTGAGACCCCGCCTGGCCCGCCCTCTCTCGTTGCGACGAGTAATATGATAACGAGATGCGTCGGTGAACCGCATCTCTCAGCCCCGCTGTATATCATTAGCGACATGATTGACTACGCGTTTACCTCCTGTTGGTTTTATGTCTAAGTATCTATAGTTGAAAACCGTTTAATATATTAGGTGAAATTATATACCTAATATACAAGAATTACTATATATTTACATATTTACAGTCTAATATCTATTAAATACTTTCGAAATAAATTCTATAATCCTTAAAAGAGTAAACATTATGTATACAATAGTATGTAATACTCATATCACCCTATACAAATTATTACGGTACAATCGTAAAAATACAACGCCATCTAGCGATGAATAGCGCTACTAAGAGAACACCGAAGTAATTGACGTACGTATCACGTGATTATTTTAACACATTAGTTTAAAAGATAAAAGACCGAAAACACGTCAGTAACATCTGAAATTTTCGATTGTACTCATTTAACTGAAACTGAGGTTTTCGGATACTCCGTGTTAATCTTAGTTTGTTTTAAATACTAGTTAGCAAAATAAAATATTCAAGGTACATAAGTAGGTATTCATTGTATTGAAGCATTTAATTATGTAATGAATATCACTAATAGATACCGAAACATTCATACCTACTATATATTATTATAAATTGTTGAACTCCTCGGCAATGAAGTCTCACACCAATTTTTTTATAAGTAATAATAATAATAAAAAGGAAATAGAAAAAAGATTTATTTAAAACAAAATAAACAAATATTAATTTGTAAGAATTCCAGTAAATTCAATTCTTACAGTAATAAATTTAGAATTTAGAAAGAAACTATTAAAAGATTTTTTTTTTTCATAATAGGTACATAATTTCTAGAGCAATTTGCTATACTGTAATTTTTCTTACTAAAATAATATTTATGAATCATCCAATGTTATAAATATGTTAACTTTTTTTTTTTGAACGAAAAAGGTTTTATACCCACCCCCTAGGAATGAAAAACGGAGGTGGTTGTGTTTGAGGGATTTGCAGCCCGAGCAGCCGGAATAATTTAAATCATTTGAATGAAGTGCCAGGAGATTTCTTCCGCATGTAACCCTGACAATGATTATCTGATGAACGAATTCAGAAATATTTTAATAAAACTAAGTTTTTCGTATACAACGCATCTTTTATTATTTTATACTACCTACATAATCCCGACGTTTCGGTTCCTTTACAGCGAACTTGTTAAAAAACAACAATAAATACATTTTTTATCCAAAGAATTTCCATATTCTTAGTAAATTCTTGTACAAGATCTTCTCGTTCGTGTTAAAGAAATTTATATGAGAATCGTGTTATATTTTTGTACCTACATATATTAAAGATTCATTGCCGGAACTGGATTCAAATATTGTATTGTGTAACGCTGTGTAGACGCTGCAAGGGTTAGGCCCTGTTTGTTTTTAGATAGAAGCGAGTTGGACAATCAGTTGGTCGATCAGTTGGCCGATCAGTTGGACGATCAGTTGGTCGATCAGTTGGTCGATCAGTTGGCCGAGCAGTTGGTCGATCAGTTGGTCGATCAGTTGGACGACCAGTTGGACGATCAGTTGGTCGATCAGTTGGACGATCAGTTGGTCGACCAGTTGGACTATCAGTTGGTCGATCAGTTGGTCGATCAGTTGGTCGATCAGTTGGTCGATCAGTTGGTCGATCAGTTGGTCGATCAGTTGGACGATCAGTTGGTCGATCAGTTGGTCGATCAGTTGGCCGAGCAGTTGGTCGATCAGTTGGTCGATCAGTTGGTCGATCAGTTGGTCGATCAGTTGGCCGATCAGTTGGACGATCAGTTGGTCGATCAGTTGGACGATCAGTTGCCCAACCAGTTGCCCGACTAGTCTATATATATAAAAGAAAGTCGTGTTAGTGACTCCACTTATAACAGCTGAACCGATTTAGCTGAAAATTGGCAGGGAGGTAGTTTAGAACCGGGGAATTGCAATAGGATACTTTTTATCCCGTTCGACAGCATTCCCGTGGGACTTGACATGAAACGTCAGTCATTATAAAACGTGGAATAACAGAATTGACAGCTATGCAATTGACGTATAATGACAAATATGTAATGACGTATGGATGACAATTAGACATTTGTAAGAAATCTACTATATAAAAATAAAAATATTTAGGTAATGTGTTTGTAGTTTGAACTCTTAAAACCATTTAGTATTTGCGGGATAAATTTAGAAAATCATTGTTTTTCACATGGGCAGTTATATTTTGCGTGTTCACGAGTTTGGAAACCATACGCTTTATTTGTGTTAAAGTTAGACCAAAAAACAAAAAATGTGGTTTACAAAGGAGCAGTTCAATGAAACGGATAATTTGCGGACACGTATAACGCTTCGATTCGTTATCTACTTTGGATTCACTTTCATTTACTTAGAGAAGTTCATTTAAATAACACTTCATTTTTGTAATCGAAATGAATTCATTACTGTTGTGAAATGAAATAAAAATTTTCCTTTTCAAATATAAAACAAAAAATTCTTCATCTTTTAATCACCAAACGAAATGTTATATAAAAGCCTTCTGGTGGCGAAACGGAGTTCGCCAGGTTTACTAGTAGTAGTAATAAAAAATTGACAAATACTTATAATCATTGATTTATTGATAGTTCATCAACTATATATGGCGCGTTTTCGACCGGAGGCACCGGTTGACCTGAAGTGATGCGGTGACCGCGCGCTCTCCGCCCTCTATCTCGAAAACGGTACACCGTATAAAAAAAATTTTTGAAACAAAATTTGTAGAGAATTTAGTATTCTACGATATTGATAATAAATGCAAATAGCAAAAAAACCCATAGGAAATGAGATATTACCAAAAAAAGCGCAAAAAACCGATTTTTGTGACCTTTGACCTTGAAATTCAATAGTTGCTGACACCCTACCATATGTAGGTTTTGAGACGACTTTTAGGGTGTCAATATACATATATTTACAGACTTACAGCTGGGTATCTCGAATTCCGAGGTGAACTTACTATAATGACTGGACTAATTTGTCACCTACCGTCAAAGATTTCTTAGTTTTCTATCGTACTTACCCCTCTGAATGTACATATTGCATGTGCATGAACTGGCTTTTATAATAAGGAATCATAATTTCAAAATTCAAGTACTGAATATCTTGTGAAATTTACTAATTATTTGTATTTTTAGACGCAGAGCGATAAAGTTATCAATTGTTTTTTTCTATTTCTTTCTTTTTATAAAATTTCCTTTGATATTACACGATCATTGCATATGGTATTCAAAAATATTTTAATGCTGCAGTATTTTCAACGTGACTGAACTATTTTAATACAACCCCAAGTCACTAACATAGATTTTTGCTTACCTTTAATTAGTCCCTAATATTCTTCGAATTAACCGTAACATCCTAAAACACTAATGTTTTAAGATGGTTTTCAAATAAACAAGACTTTATTATTGAGACTCCGTTAATGTCTAACCGTCTGTCGCCAGACTTTATCTCCTGAACCGTGATAGACGTGGAATAGGTAGGTATTACATTTTGTACCTATTTGTTGCATTCTGCAATATTGGTACGTAACTGACAAATTGGCATTTGTTGCATTCTACAATATTGGTTCAATAATAGTATGGGACTGTTGAAAATTTCCATAAATAAAATTATAATATATCGTCTCATTTTTAATTTTAATAAGCTCTTTTGTAAAAATTAGATGCAAGTATCATAAAGGTGTTGAAGCTGTGTCCCAGCTGATTCCACTAGTTTACAAAATTTTACTTTTTATTTATACCCCGAACCGAATGTATGTCAATATGTTAATCTACCTTCCCTAAACCTAAAAGTGTTAGCAGAAATATTTTATCACATCGGAATTTTTTTCTGCCGTCAATTGTTTTTTTTTAACAAGCCGACGTGGTGGTGATATTTTATTGTTTATTTGTTCGCTTCAAACGACAGTTACTTTACTTTGGATTGATTTAAAATGGCTAGCAGAAAGTGCAAACAAAGTTCTGACCGTTTTTGTTATGTTTGTGGACAGTTTATATTTTCAAAAAAGAGAAGACCTATTGTAGATTCGTTAAAAACTGCATATCTTCATTATTTTGGATTTCCTGTTGCAATCAAGATAAAAAGTGGGTGCCTCGCGTGTTTTGCGAAAGCTGTAGAATCATCTTACTCCAGTGGTCATCAGGAGAAAAAGTTTACCTTCCATTTGGTTCGCCAATGCTATGGAGAGAACCTAGTACTGTTGTTTCCTTTGTTTGTGGGACAGTAGAGCGAAACAACATCATTATGTAAGGAAAGAATGGCCTGTTCGAAATGAGTATATTCCGGGCAAAATGAAAATTAATCACGAGCTGTTGGTCGATCCAAATAACGTTACTTTACCCCCTTTACACATTAAACTGGGGCTCATGAAAAACTTTGTAAAGGCGCTTGACAAAAACAGTGATGCTTTCCGGTATTTGCAAAAAATATTTCCAAACATTACAGAGGGAAAACTGAAGGAGGGTATATTTATTGGTCCACAAATCCATAAAATTATGAAAGATTCTCAGTTTAAAAACCTTTTATCGGTTAAAGAAAAGTCTGCTTGGAACTCATTTAAAATGCTTGTAGAAAATTTTTTGGGAAATAAAAAAAGTGAAAATTATGAAGAAATTTTTAACAATTTATTGAAAAACTTTCATGATATGGGAGTAACATGTCATTAAAGATTCACTTTCTACACTCTCATCTGAATTTTTTTCCTGAAAACTTAGGAAGTATGAGTGACGAACAGGGTGAACGTTTCCACCAAGATTTACGGACTTTCGAAGAACGACATCGAGGATTTTGGGATGAAAATATGTTAGGGGATTACTGTTGGTCTATCATAAAAGAAACTGATTCAAATAACTATAAAAAGAACGCAAAAATTAGTCATTTTTAATTTATTTTTGTATTAATCCTAAAATTTTTGTATTTCCCTTCAAGAAAATAAATATTTTTTAAACCAGACGTGACAGAATTTTTTTATTATTTTTTCTGGATAGTTCTACCTGAACATAAAATAAAATAACAACTTTCAGCTGGGGTATGAAAACCGTGTAAACTAGTGTTCTCCAGCTTTATTCAAGGTAATAGTTTTCGGATGAATCTACAAAGGCAATCGAAGCTCTACAAGAACCTAAGACTTTCAAAGAGACATATCCTGAGAGATTCCATGATGACGTTGTTACATCGATCCCAAAAAGACGAAGAAGCAGTCTATAATAACAGCTTACAGCACAAAGTGACGGAGTAGGGTTAGGATCAACTTAGAAGGATACATTAAAGTATTAAACTTAAGGACATATTAAAGTATTTTATTGAACTACAAATCCACTCAATGAATTTAGAGACGTAAAACGAGTGTTTAGACAAAGAATATATTTGTAACCCATTAGCACTAAAATGACACACCTTCATTCATTATTGGTCACCAGCACTGCTGAAATTTTGTCTCAATGCGTTCTAAATGACTCTCCCAGGTCTAAGTTATTTAGTCAGATAGGTAAAGATACCGAAAAATCTTTAACTGAAACTTACTTCAGTTGAAACTGCTAAGCATGTACAGTCGGGATATAGGGTACTCCTGGATAGAGGTCAATATTTTCCTCGACACGACCGGTTTTTAGAAAACATACGTGAAGAAAAAAGTCGTAGTTATATACTTAGGACTCATATACAAAGAATACAATAAATAAAACCCAAATTGTAATACATATATATTTTAATCTGATAACACGCCTATCTCAAATAACATACATAAAGGTAAAATGTTCCAAAATTCAGAGTAAATCTCATCTAAAACTTATACATTTCAATATCAACATATTTACAACTTAGAAGTAAGTTCGGGGACTACCTTGAATAAGTCTGCAACGAGGCCTAGGTCGGATACCTGAAAAAAAAAATAAAATAGATATACATTAACATTATTAATTAATTATTTTAATGTACCTATCCTATTTTATTTTATGTTCTATTATTTTTTGTACCCTATGGACTGTGTTCAAAATAAAGATTATTATTATTATGTTTCGTATATTTGTCTTCTCGGCTTACACCGGTAGAATATAAGTAACCTTTACGGACTGGCGTCAAGTAGAGGTCACTGTTGGATTAATTTAAGTTTGTGGAAAGGTTTCATCTAATTCTAAAAATTTCCTAACTATTCTACATGTGTTCAGTATAGCGGCTTTTTGGTATTGTATATAAGAAGTGGGTTTCAGTCCAATAAGTTTAAGGCTATTATGTAAATTATTGGGTATAACGCCGGTCGTTGATAGGACTATGGGTACTACATAGACTTTATTTTTCTTCCAGATGCTTAGGATTTCGTCTTTAAGGTCGGTGTATTTATGAATTTTCTCCGCTATTGTTTTTTGCAAATTGTGTTTTATTATTATTATTATTATATATTAGTTTAAATTACAATTATATCAATTTCTTAACAATATCAGGTCATGAAAATACATAATCTGTATTATTGAATAATACAGATTATGTATCAGATGATATATAATTATTATTCAATAATACAGATTAAATATCATCTGATACAAAAGTATGGATGAATTATTACAAAAAATACATATATGTATATTACTAACTTGAGACATTGTTCTTTAAATGATTTCCTTAAAATTGTTTTATTATTAAAATATTTACCTGAAAGATGGGTGCTTCAGGGTCTTTATTGATGGCAACAATAGTCTTGGAGTCCTTCATACCAGCCAGATGCTGAATGGCTCCGCTGATGCCCACAGCTATGTATAGGTCCTGTTTATGTATAATAAATATTTATACTTATTAATAGATAGTCATTAAAGATTTTAATATTTAATATATATCAACATATCTTTATTTAACTACATTTTTATAATATAAATCAATTTTATTATTAAAATTTTTAAACAGTTTCATAATGTAGTAACATGATCATGGTTTCTTTGAAGTAATTTTAAATGAGAATATCCTTCATTTTTATAATTTATATATTATATTTTATTCAATTATAAAAACTTCTTTTTCAATTTCCATAGTTTTATAACTCATTTCCATTTAAATAATGATTGAAATACAGACAACAATTATTCAGCACTGATAATAATGGGATAATAATATTTTATTTAATGAAGCATCTTTAAAATGGTAATTTAATTTTGATATATAATTTTAATTCGTATTGCATTCTTGTGTATTACTTATATTAATTGTTGGAATTGTTAAATAATAATAGGATGTCAAATAATGTCGGTAGATCATTTTATTATATGCGGTTATGTGTTTCAGTCTTGCTATTTAACACAATACACAAATACCATACAACTATTTTAGAACTAACTTATTAGAGAGAAGAGCTTGATCAATGGAAGTGAGTTTTTAACAAGCTTTAGATAAGGGTCCATTAAACCTACACCTGGGTTGTAGGTCCTAGCCACTGTTGAAGTTCCTCTCCCTACAACAATGGACTCGGCACCCATATATTGAATGTATGGAATGCTAAGAAGTTTCGTCTCATATATTTAATACTTACAGGAGCGACAATTTTTCCAGTCTGACCGATCTGCAGGTCGTTGGGTACAAAGCCTGCATCAACAGCAGCCCGAGAAGCTCCTACCGCTGCATTCAACTTGTCAGCTAGATCATACAGCAGCTTGAAGTTATCACCAGACTTGAGACCACGACCTGAAGTGAGATAAAAAACGATTTAAGAAAATGCTAGCATATACACACATACACACACACACACATATATAATACTAGCTGCGTCCCGCGGTGTTACCCGGGGATTTCCGGGATGTTAAGTAGCATATGTGTTATTCGTGGATGTCAGCTTCCTGTATATAAAATTTTACCAAAATCGGTTCAGCCGTTTGAGCGTGAAGAAGTAACAAACATACACACACTCACAAACTTTCGTAATTATAATATTAGTAGGATGGTGTGTGTATTAGAAGGCTAAAAATGTCCAGTTAAAAATATATATTTACAGAGTTATTTCACAATTAAATTAATGATTTAGCCCTACTAATGTATATGTTTTTAGACATGATTAAATTATTTAGTAACTCTTATCATTTGAGATGAGTAGTGGATCTTAGTAGTTATAATTGAAAAATTTCATATAAAAAAATAAGTGATTATGTTGCAGAAATAAACTGAATTTTAATTAATCTTAATATATTTTTCTTTTTTCATACATACCAAAGACGCTATAGATAAAGCATATAAATAAATTGACAAAGATGTATATATTTCTTACCTCCAGAAACAATATTCTTAGCACTGGTCAATTCCGGCCGGTCAGATTTAGTAATCTCCTGTGATACCCACTGAGTGAGATCGGTTTTGTAATCTCCCTCAGGAGCCTTCTCCACACTCGCTGAACCACCTTCCAAGGGCTCCGCGGGGAATGCTGTTCCTCTTACTGTGATAACCTTGATGGGATCCTTAGCTTCGAGGGTTAACACTGCATTACCTATAGCAAGATGAGAGTTTTAAAATTCGGTTAAAATTTTTAAGCAATTAATTAATCACGATACTTATATTCTTAGTTTGAGGATTTTTTTTTTAACTTTAGAAAATAAGTTGTGTTATTATATGTTAAAGTGTCACAAAAATTCTCACAAACTTTCATAATAGTTTTATATCATTGGTAGAAGTTTAACTTGACACATGGATGAAATTACAAATATATAAAGATATGAATTAATGAGATCTAACACTCACATAGTTTCTACACTAATAAAATATGCATAGTATAATCCGAAAAATATTAGTTTCATTTAAGATTTGAATAAATAACTTCTCTAAAAATGATAATACTTAATTTAATATTTTTTTTTAGCAAATTGTTTACATTATGGCCATACTTAAAAAAAACATATTATTACTATGCCAAGATAAGATAAGGGCATCTCTTGACGATCTTACAAAATATAATTTGAATCAACTTTATTTGTCTACCATATAATATGAGAATATCCTTACCAGCATAGATTGTCCTTATAAAGGTGTTAGCATCTTTAACACCAATGATATCAGTAATGGGTGACACATCGAGCTTGGCAGCAACACGAGGCAGCAGGGACTTGCCAAAAGCTGTTGCTGGTGCCAATATATGGGTGAAGTTGAATTGCTTCTGAGTTGCCAATATCAAAGACGTCAACGACTCAGAGGTAAAGCCCTTAAAAGCTTCGTTTTCAGCTACCAGAACCTTCGACACTCCACCTGCTTTTGAAATGGCTTCGGCGGCCTGAAAATATTAATTTAAAATGTCATGCTAGATTTCTTTGATGTGGAAAGTTATAATATAATTAACTTACTGGTCCACATTTAGTACCAGCAACGAGCACAGAAACTTCTCCACCAATTTTCTTTGCAGCGTTCAGGGCATTCTGAGTTACTGGTAATAGCGCCTCATTGTTGTGTTCTGCTACTATCAACGTACTTTGAAGACGACGTAGCTGAAATTTGTAAATTTTGATACTATCTCTCGTCATATCATTAACTAATTATCATTCGTAAATTGTTACGAAAAGTTGTTTTCACAGTTTTTAAATAAGGAATTTACCTGAGAAGACAAAAACAAGTGCCTAGAGCACGGTGAAAACATTTTAAGTTCTAATTTCAAAATTTATCCTAATACTATTTACAACTTTCAAAAAGGTTAAAACCTCAGTCAAAGTCCACTGGAGTTACGGAGTATTTTACGGATAAACTGTATATGTCTCTGTGTTGCCAGTAGCCAAGTTATTTGTAAATAAAATAATCTAGAATTGTAATCATTTCAAATATTAAATCATTTTATAGCTTCAGAATAATAAAAAAATAATTTACAAATATCAGTTACATTAACACTACCTATTAACATTATATATATAAATGTCATAATAAACATCTTAAATTAGTGTCGAAAGAGCATCAAATTCTTATTAAATCGATATTTATTATTAGCCAATTGAATTAAAATATTTTTTTCTGAAATTCACGTTGCGCTCGTATCACTATGTACTAAGAAGAAATAAGAATTATAGTATAATTAACGGCCTTATAAAAAAATCATTGAGTCTATGCTTTTGGAATTGGTATTGACAACTGTAAAATGACAACCGGGAATTGACGTAGAGCTTAAAACGAAACTTGTTTTCAAAACTATGTTGAATTGTTAAACAGCATAGCAGCTGCTCAGTAATAAATTCGACAGGTACTGAAATAATCAAGAGTAATATCAAAAAATATTTGGATTTTAGTCTTAATAATTTATAAAGTGACATTTACTATTCTTTCAGACAACATAAAGAAGAAAGCGAGATAGAATAATTTTATATTTATATAAATTACACGACTGAAATTCATTGAAATGGCACATCACCCAATTGTTTCTATTACTCGCCGTGAAACATTTAGTTCCTGCCACAGACTTCACAGGTAAAATAATAAAGATTTTACCCTTAACAGTAATATTTCTTTAAGATGAAAAAATTTACATCTTGATATCGCTTCTTACAATATCGTTTGACCCTTTAATGTAACATTTAAGTTAAGATAAAGGAAACATGAGCATTAGGGGTTATCATTTTTTTAACCCTATATTCTAAAATGTATTTAAAATATAAAATAAAAAATAATTCTGCCTACATTTAATTCTGTTAATTTAATATGTTTGTATTTTCTTTTCAGTCCATTTTTGACTGATGAGGAAAATAAGAAATTGTATGGAAAATGCAATAATCCAAATGGTCATGGACACAATTATGTTGGTAAGAATTATTATTAATTAATTCAATTTTTATTTAAAATTGAATATTGACATAATTATACCGAATATTGAATTATTAAAATATTTATTCACCACCTAGTAATGTAACTATTACTGCACATTTCCAACTATCTACAACCTTATTATAATATATTATCTCTTAATATTCTAAGTCAAAACACTTAAAAAGACTATGTAGTTTCTTTAATCTTCTTCCTGGCAATTTCCCAGCCTTAGCCAGGGTCTGTGTTACATGTTGTAAATAGTTTTGGCTATTTTTTTACGACCAGCTGCCTGCCTGACGTCAACCCTCTTTGGGAATATGCAGCTTGTTTAATATAATATTAATATGCTTTCTATTCATAATTTATAGTATTGGTGACTGTAAAAGGACCGGTCGACCAGAACACAGGCATGGTGATGAATGTTCACGATCTGAAGCATTACATGCATCAAGCAATAATGGACCCGTTAGATCATAAGAATTTGGATCAAGATGTACCTTACTTCAAAACTGTGGTGAGTGTCTCAAATGATTCTTAAACTTACTTAAAATATAGAGAGAAATAGAAAGCTGAGAAGTTATTGATCGATAAAAAATTGTGTTTAATAGATGATAAAATTATAATGGACTAGATGGCCAGAAATAATGAATTTAAAAAATACATACTGAAGTTATCATAAGGCATTTAACTTTGTATATGTATCCTATGAAATATTTATTATTAGAACAAATTATAGATAGACTTTTCCAGTGAATTTGATTTATCTACTTGAGAACTAGTCAATCTTATACTTAAGTTTCTAATAAAATATACAAAGTTGGCTCTATCCTTATTAAATTAATTTAAATTGGCTCTGTAAGTAATATAACTGAAGGTTGTAATTAAAATAAAATACAATTATTAAAAATATCATGAATATTCTCCTAATTTAATTTTTATAATCACGTTTGTTAAATATTATGAAATATTTAAATTGTTAATGCTTAGAATATTGTTGTAATTACTTTTTAATTATGCAGTGATTATATATATATATATGTGTGTGTGTGTGTGTGAGAGAGAGAGAGAGAGAAAGTATTATGTGTACATAATGCTTATATTACAAATGTGTTTAATGACCTTATGTTAGTTTATTCCATATAAAAAATATAAAAACCATTAAGCAATAATAAGTATTAAGAATAGTGACATTAGATCCTTTACTATTTTACTTAACTAAGTACCATCTGAACTATATTACATGATAAATCTACTAGCTTGTATATGATAAATGTATAAAGTGTAATTAATAGTTATTTTGTAATAACTACAAGGTCAGGTTCATTCTTATCACACTAGTAAAGATAAAATTATCACTTTTGTAGTCTTTAACCTCTTTTATTCAAGAATAAATCAAAAACAATGATACCTCATATAAGCCATAGATATTTAAATATAGAATTTTGAAAAAAGAACTATCTGTAGTTTTTAATAGGAGGATATTTTTGTTACTTCACATTAAAATTAATGAATGATCTATCTTTTGTGTTTATTGTAATGTAAAGACTAAATGAACTAAAGAGGTACTAAATATTCGAAAGAGAATTACGATTTCGAAGGTCGGTTCAATAAAACCAAAATTTTAATGATTTAATTTAATTTTAAAACTAAACTGCATTTGTTTCAACTATAGGGTGAACAAGTAGTGACAAAATTGAAATATAAAACTAAAGTCTCTTCACATGGTAGGTACTGCTCATTAATACCTGCGATTACACCGTCGCGTCGCATCGTTCTATTATTATTTAATTAACTATCACTATAAAAATGTCGCGTAACACGATTTCATTTTTAGAAAGAGAAAATAACAATTATACATAGTCTGGCCATAAATACTGTTACAATTAAAAATAATCAAAATATTACATTTGAATTTGGAATCCTTTTGGAATTTTCCTTGTGTTTTCTTAATTTGGCGCCTTCCTTGTGTTTTTTATTTTGGCGCCAATACATTGTTCAATATTTTGCGATATTAAAATGGAGTGGGGATGATAAAGAATCGAATCGATGTGATTGCATTACACAAAGTGGGTATGGAGACAAAAGCAATTTTTAAAACTCTCCACACGCTTGGCATTAGTCAAATGTTTGTGTACCGGGCCATTAAAAGGTAACCTCTAGAGATCTAGAGATCTGGCCGTCCACGTAGTGAAAAGGTGGTCAGAGCAGTCAGGGAAAGAATTTGAAGAAATCCTGTCCGAAAGCAAAATTTAATCTCGTGGGGTGAAGTTAGGACCTAGAACCATTTCGCGTATTTTAAAAGATGACTTAGGACTTGCAGCTTATAAGAGACGCACTGGACATTTTTAAAATGATAATTTAAAAAAATAATAGTGTGATGAAATCTAAACAACTACTGAAGCGGTACGCAAAGGGGTGTCACAGAAAAAGTTTGTTTATGGATGAGAAAATTTTTACAATTGAGCAACATTTTAACAAACAAAATGACCTTGTTCTAAAGCTCTAATGAAGCTTACCAATTAGTCGAGAGAGTGCAACGTGGGCATTGTTTGGTGGGGTGTTAGCTATGAAGGAGTGACTGAGCCATACTTTTGTGAAAAAGGTATCAAAACATCATCACAAGTGTATCAAAATACCATTCTTGAGAAGGTAGTTAAGCCCCTTAGCAACACCATGTACAATAACCAACAATGGTCCTTCCAACAAGAAACGAACGTTTCCGACTTCCAACAGAGCTGAATACTGGCCGTCGTCTAGTCCCAATCTAAATCCGCTGGATTATGATTTATGGTACAGTTTTAGAGAGTAGGGCTTGCTCTAAACGCCATATTTAAAATACTTATTAGTATTAATTAATTAATAGTTGTATTTTATGTTACATCAAAATTAGTCCATTTCCCTATTAAAACAGTAGTGGAAACTTAACTGGCATAAGTGTTAAAATATGATTATTATATTAAGTTGTAATATATGATAAGCTGTATGTTTCCCTAATAATAAATAAATAAATATTTTGGACTCCCTAAAACAATACGTGATACGATCGGCAGTGAAGAATTTTTCCATAGAAAGAGTGCATGCTTCTATTGATAACTGGCCTGAACATTTAAAAGACTGTATTGCAGACCGATGGAGACCACTTCGAATAACCTTTATGTTTTAAATTGTTTTATATTAATGTATTAAACTAACATACTAGAAAGTAATAAGTTTTATTTGCAATAGAAAAAATATTTTATTTATTTGTAACAATATTTATGGCTAGATTATGTATATTTGTCACACTTACAATCAAGGTATTAATTAAAAATGTTACAGTATATTAACCCAACGAAATAATAACAAGTCTTTAAGTTATGTTGATTTAATAAAAGCTATTTGTTGCGTATAAAAGCATTAAAAACCAATTATCTTTTTAAATGACACTGTCATTTCATTCACAAACTTATTTATTACCATTGAAATAGATAATAATTAATATTTAATCATTACTAAATAACAAATTTTAATATATTTACAGGTGAGTACAACTGAAAATCTGGCTATATACATATGGGATCAGTTACAAAAAGTCATGGAGAAGCCGAATTTGCTGCATGAAGTGAAAATCTTGGAGACTGAAAAGAATCATGTTGTTTACCGAGGAGGTTCCACATATCCTAGGAAGAAAATCAACCCAACCAACTTACATTCAAACCACCACGATGTGTCTTCTGACTCGGACTGATAATAAATAGACATAGATTATACTAAGTAATGAATTTCATTATCATATTCATTGTTGTTCAAATGTATTTGCTTAAACATTCACAACATGGACAATATTTTTATAATCATAGACAATAAAACTTTTTTTTTAAAGTAATAGTTTTAAAGTATTCAAATATGAAAATGTTTGAGTAACCATACATTATGCCTTTGTTATAGATAAGTAAAAATAGCTATGTGCTTATGGTGTAAGAAAAAACTATTTAGATTAATATTGAAATTTTGTATTAATATCTATGTTATAAATATATATATTTACAGATATATTTGTGGTACCTTAATAATTTTACATATACTTTTGTAAATCCAAAATCAATTCAATATTTTAAATGATATTACAACAAAATGTATGAATAGAATTTTTGAACATGACAAAACGTAAAGATGGTTATTGTTAAATAAATAAAATACACTTATATAATATATAACACATTTTTACTTTATTACAATCAAAGTCTCAGCATTACATAAAATACATAAATAATAGGACAATGATACAAATATTATTTGGTAATAGAAAATCAACGTTTTTCTTTCAAAGCACATTTATAAGTAGTTACAAATCATTTAAATTATGTATCACACAACTAAATACTACACTAATACTATATTATCAAAATGTTGCAATCACAATTGTTTTTAACAATGATTTTGAACTAAAACATTTAAATACACACTAAATTATAAATCTATGAAAACATCAACATCACAAAATATGGAAATATTATTTTATACGCATTTTAAATAAGTGAGTAAAAGCAAAAAGCTGAAATTCTGGCACAATTTAATTATGAAGTTTCTTTAAGAATTTCTGGAATTTCGTTTTGAGAATCTTTTAAACACTTGTTAGATAAATATTTGTTACATTTAGTGAAGCAACACTGCTACATTAATTTATAAAAAAATATTAAGACAATAAAAAAACATCAAAAGCTTACATAGATAAAGTGGACTAAAAAAAAACAATGTTTTTTTTTCGATGACTTTCACAAAGCTCTATAATATACTCTACTTCTATAAACACATAAGATCTCTTTTTGTAAATCTTAAATAATTTTTGTTAAATGTAAAACTCAATTAAAAATCACTAGCACTACGAATAATGCAAAAAATAAATATAAAATTATTAATAATATATCACTAGAATATAAAATATATAAATAATTGCACAATAACAGTCATAAAAAACATCACAGGTTGGCACAAATTGAATTAATTAAAATTTCAAAATTTTAATCACCTACATATGGTATGTATTAAAAAATACAAATGTCAAATCGTATTTTCAGTATTCGTTTTTACACATTATATATACTGTGTTTGTAATTTATACAACTTAATAAACTACATTTATTTCGGTCTTAGTCATTTCGTGAATGTAAAATTTTACAAATTAACATAAAATAGTATCAAAATCAAATCAATTCCAAAATTGAAATTAAATGACAAGCAGGACATGTCAAAACACAGATAATATATCTATAAAATTGTTTCCTATTAAAAAAATACCATTACGCAATCGGCAATATCAAGCTACAAAAAAAAATTATATAGCAAGATTGTCTTTTTTGCACGGATGTTTTATAGTTATATATGGTATGCCCAGTTCGAAGTCGTTTCTTGGCCAGTATCTCAATTCGGGTTTTTGCTCGGGTCTTTCTTCGGACACATTGAAGTATGCAAACAGTACTAACGCAGTATAACTAGCTATGAATATAAGTATGTGCCATACACCGTGCATGTACGGGAAGTCTATGGAGAGCCACGTTTCACAGAACATTCTGTCGATGATCCAGGAGAATATGGCGAGGAAGCAGACCGCGACGCAGCGTAGACCGAGACGATACACGCGGGCACATTTGACTCTTGAAATAAATAAAATACATATGTAAAGGTGTTCTATTTTTGAAATTTTATTTCGTGTTCTATCTTAATTATAAAATTGTTTCAGTCATGATTTAAACTGAGACGCGTCAACATGTGTTCTCAATTTGAATGTTGCATTGGACCGCGCGCTAATTTAAATGCGGTCAAGTATACCGGCTGTTAGATAGCTCAAACATTAGTACTATTATTGCTATTAATTTTTAACCCTAATATAATTTATTCATTTATAAATTACCTGTTTAGTTCTTTACATAGAAACCCAATGGCCGGGAATGCGAGCATCATTAAAGCGAAGGCGTTAGCTTTGGGATGCATTACAAGGAATCCTGTAGAGACGACAGAAAACACGCTGGAATAGAATGCCAGTACTCGTCTGAAAAATAATAATTAAGAAAGTTATTACTTTTCATTGTTTAAAATACAAACAAAACTGTGTTTTATCAATATTATATGTCCTTATCTATTTAAATGTAGGCTAACACGCTTGAATGTTCAAGTCAAAACATCACATTGTTTTCAAGCTATTTTATAACGTAATAGAAATGAGTGCACATGTACTTAACGCACTTAAGAAACTCAGAGTCAATAACAAATAGTCCTTTATGGGTACATTGTATTTTTAAATTAATCTTAATTTTTTTTTACTTTATTCCAGCTATGCTTGAATCAGATGTGTCTCTAAAATATAGTACTCTGTGCAATTATTTTAAAATTCATATACATATTTGCAAATTTTTGTAAGTCTTTCTTGTATTTAATAAATCATCTGGTTGCTATTCTAAATTAAAAGACCGCTCTATAGTTTTCAAAGGCCAAAAAATATGAAAAACACTTGTTTACTTATCAAATTTAAAAGAAGGAAAATAATCTTTTATAATAACTGGATTACCTGATCAGTTATTATGAAAGAAAAATAATTCCTTTGTTTTGTTTTTTTATTAACAAAAGCGATAAAAAAGTAATTAAAATGATGAAATATTACTGGCTGTAAAAGATTCTGTTTTTTTTTTTAAATTATTGTTTATAACTACGCAAAGGCACAAAACCTTTCAACTTTTAAAAACGTGTCGTTTATAAAGGAAAGACGTTGCTTATAAAGGAAAGACAACTAAATCAAGTTGTAAATATTAATATATATTTATTAAAAAAAAAACATGAATGATTCATTCGGTACATATTTTTATGGCTGAGTGTTTGCGTCGTAGTTTAGTTTTGTAATAACTTTTAACATTCCTTTTTGCAAACACTTGTATTTACGTAATAAATTGAGAAAGAACTATTTTTAATTACACCAAACGATATGAAGTTTTTATCAACAAGGTAAACGTGTATATATTTTTAAATTACACTTTATTACGCGCCATAATATTTTATTTTTGATACTGGTGCTTAGAACGAGTTGGCATCATGATTCTACTTACGTGATACGAGGCGTTACTCGTCTCTCATTCTATAACCTACTTTAATACTGTAATGTTCTAAGTTTAATGTTTAATGTATAAAAAACTATTAACCCTATGTATGTAGTGTTACAGTACAACTTATAGTAAGATCGCCGTTCAGGAATAAATTAGATTGATTGTAGTACTGTTGAGTCAGTAGTGGCCTAGTGGTTAAAAGGCCCGCCTCTCATACATGAGGGTTCGATCTTGTCAAGAAACAATGTGATTTTTCCGAGTCATATGTACTTTCTAAGAGTATTTAGACATCACTGATATTAATCAATGCTTTGCTTTGATATTAATTGATGCTTCCCCAAAGAGGGTTGATGTCGTAAAAACAATTAGCCAAAAATATTCACAACATTTCCGGCAGACCCTGGCTAAAGCTAGGAAAATTGCCAGGAAGAAGAAGGAGATTGTAAAAACTGTTAAAAAATATTTAAATTAAAAAAAATACCTACAATCAACATTTATTTTTTAAATATTGATACATATATCTTCAATATTTCAGATCTGTATGAGGGTCTGACCGCAATTCAAATTACAAAACAAACTGATTAACACAGCACTAATGTTATTCGTGCTAAAAACTAATTATATAAAATCGCAAGGTTATTGTTACTCAGATACACTCCTGTGGCCGTTACATTTGAATAGAATTAAATTATGTTATACTTCTTTCAACAATAATAAATACATGAAGTTTAATACATAAAAATATTTGCGATGATAATCTAGGTCATTTTTATTTTAGTTAATTCACACATATGTAAATATGTACATGTTTGTGTGTGTGTGTGTGTGTATATTATCCATGTATAGAGATTTTTTTTATACAGGGTGACTGGTGAATTACTATCAATATTTAAGGAGAATACTCGGTACATGATTCTCATTCGAATTATGTATAAAAATAGGTACTTAATTTTTGACCAAATTTCCGTATAAATAAATAAAGCGTGGGCACGTTCCAAGTGTGGACGCGTGCGGCGGCGTGCTGATACAACACTACGCCGCCACACGCGTATGTGTGAGTGTGTGTGTAATGTGTATACCTAATCTGTAGGGTGTTCACATGATGCGTAATTAATTACATAACTTTTGGTTAACTTTACTTAGAAGTTTATTAATATTTATGTTATATTAATTTTTATCTTGTCATATACGATCGTCAAATATCACGTCCTAAAGTATTGATAGTAATTCATCAGTCACCCTGTATATGTATATAATTTTTTCGTAACTTTATAATACAGTAACTAGTATCGAAATTTTATGAGATTGTTTCTCAAGTCTACTAAAGTCTAGAATATCGTACGTGTTTAAGTAGCAAGATATGCAACTCAAGTGTGAAGTGACACAGTCATTTCATGGTATTTCTTTGACTTTTATTCCCTGAACTAATAACTCATATTTCAAAAAGAGATTTTTTTTCAAACAAAATTAGACAGTCTCTTTGTTATATTATAGTAACCTATTCTTATTTTACGTTTATAGCAACGACCCTATAATGTTAACTATACAAAAAAATATATTTTATCTGATTTTTCAGTTATTACACCTAATCTCCGAAAAGTTTTACAACTATTTGACTTTAATTGGCATATTGGACTTAGTAATTTAAGCTAACTTTATTTTAGAAATTCTTTTTATTGATATAATCATAAAAACAACTACCACGTGCGTACGAAGTCGGGAGCAGAGCTAGTAATATTTAGTCCGATATTTACGTAGTTAGATCATTCAGTTTTATCTGTTAATAAATTTTAATTACATTGTGTACTATAATGGTTAAATTTAACTAAACAACCTTGGACCCTAGGCTCACTGGAGAAGAGGTCGTGAAAAAATACTTAAGAGCAAATAAATATATACTATGTATATACATATGTATTTTTATAAAAATATATAATGCTATATGCAGAGTTTATGTATTCTTTCAACTGTACATATACATTTTACTTCTGTATTGTGTTGTTTAAATATATTTACTACAAAATTAATTCGTTTTGTGAATAAAGTTAACCTAGAGTAAAATGTTTATTAATTGTCCTACTTGGGCTATTATTCTATTTCCTTATTTTAAATATGTACCATCACACTATACAGTAGGACCTCGATTATCCGGACTAATTGTTGTCGGTAGGCATCCGGATAATTGAAAGTCCGGATAATCCAATATATGAAGAAAAACCGGCTTTTTGCACATGTACATATGTAGTCTGTACCATACATATGTAATGTTAGGTGTTTATTTAAAACAACAAATACATATGAGCGAGAATCAACGTTTATTAAGAAATTGTACATAATGTACGTATAATTTGCTTACAATAATTATGTGGCGTGGCGTTATCCAAGTTCTGACATGTTAATGTTAGAATAGGGCGGCCAACCGTCCCGAATTCTGCCGGACCGTCCCACGATTCTAGACGAAATCCCGCTTTGAAATTATTAGTAAAATAGCCAAGCAAAACGTTGTATGCGTCCCGCATGTCCCGCATCCCTATTTTTCTACCAGACTTCTACACAACACCCATATCACGGTCAACAGTGCAGGAACACAGATTACCTATAATAGGGACAAGCGTATCGCGCCCGCGATAATCTCGTTTTCTTTCTTTCTTCTGAACTCATGACGCGTAAGAGAGTACTTAAAGTTAATATGGGCAGTTGCGAAGATTTTTATGACATTCCCAATCCCTAACACCCCCCCCCCCCCCCCCCCATTCACGAAAGGTTAAGTCCCGCATTCAGTTTTCGGAAAGTTGGCCGCCTTATGTTAGAATAAACTCGTCCCGATTGGCAGTCCGGATAATCGCGAATTCGGATAACCGAGGTCCGGATAATCGGGGTCCTACTGTATATAGATAATAAACAAGTTTTCATTCATAAATCTTCTATTTTTATATCGATTGGATAGTTCTTGAATGATACTCCATTCACTGTAAGGTGGAAATGAAGTTATAGGTGGTGAACTCACTACGTCAGTAACAGCCTATCCTCCCTTTTCTTCAAGATACCGAAATTATAACTCGAAGGAAACTACGACCCAGGCAAACTGTTTCAATCTCTTACTATTCAATCTTCCCACATTATGTATTAAGTATTAACGTAGGTTATTGAATGAGAAACGAGTAACGCTACGTGTATAGTGACGACGAAGACTTGTGGTAAGCATAATGTATAAGGGTTTTTCGTTTGTATTTTTATTACGAAATTATACATATTAATATTACTCCAGCTTTTTCTCAGTACTTTGTATCTTTTAAAATTATTATATATTTTCGAAGTTAAATTTATATAATACTAATTACTTTTTAATATCTAAGATATATAAAAAATAAGACATACGTTTAGTAGTATTAAATAATATTTCAATGGACTTTCAAATTGATAAATGTTTTTGATAATCTGCATAATACTTAAGTATGTACATTTTAAGATTCATATTAAGTAAAATTAATCTTTTAAGGTTTTTTAAAAAAAAATACAACAGATTGTGTTTTTAATTCCAAATAACTTATCAATTATCATTATTTTTCAGTATAAATTTTGTGTAGTACGTTTATTTATTTTTATTATCAATATTTATTTTTCGTTTTGTAACACTTAACTTTTTTTATTTGAATTATGAAGCATCAGTTTTGTTGGAAAATTAAAACGAATTTATCGTTTTCCGTTTATGTAAATATTTTTAATTTAATTTGAGTTTGGTAGTAAAGTCGGTTTTATAATCAAATCTTTCATTAACCATGTTTCTTTGGAATTCTAAACAATCTTTAATTGAATTAATATAGGTAATATTTATTTAAGTTTTTTCCAATTGTATGTTTGTTACAAAGGAATGTATGTCTATTCCTACATAATTATTTGTATACTTCAATTATATTGTAGTCCCAAATAACATATTTTTGTATTTTTATTTTTTACTATAGTTAGTTTGGATAAATTGATTGTTTAAAAAAGCATTCCAAAAGTTTGTTTAAAGTCCAATGAAATAAAATGTCAGTTATTCCATGGCTTTATATTTACAATTATTTTAATTTCATGCACAATTTCCAATTCATTTTTTAAGTGACAACATTGGTTTTGTTACAAAGTATATTATGTTTAGTTATGATTCATATCAAAGACCGGTCTCATCAAGAACAATAAAAAAAATTCTTACGATAACTATAATTAATTAAAATTAAATGCCTTACTAAATTTTGATTCAAATTATTTAAATAACTTCTGAAGTTTCATACTAAAAACAAAACCTTATTGAGTCTAGATATATTATTAAATTTTAAACTCACCTGTTACCTCCCAAAAATCTAGGAAAATGTCTCTTTGGTAGGAACATAGCGAAGGCTGCCATGAAAACCCATAGTATAGCCAGTTCATCGAGAGAGTTGCCCTAAAATACAAATATTATACAATTATATATTTAATTTATAGAAACTAAAATATTTTATGTTCATTTATTTGCTTGTAATACTTATATTAAAAATATCAATAGATATTACATGTAATTACAACTACTTAGGTATAGAAAAAGGAAATACAAAAGTTAAAAGTTTATTAAGATGTACTAAAACATAAAAATGGCCAGAAATATTATTAATATGGTTTAGAAGTTTTTTTTTTATAAAACCAATGTATATTTATAATTTCAGTCAATAATTATTTGATGTTTTTTAAAAATACTACTTATTACTTGTGCACTATGTTAAAAAGTAATCTGAATATAACTCACCCACTAAACTCAGGGTAGCATGAAAGTACGCAGAACTGATACCAACCACCATTAACAGGACCCATAGTACATTGATTGCTGGGTTAAAGAATCTAGCATATTCTTGAAATAAATGTATCAATACTGGCGGGAATAAAAAGAATAGAATGTTACTTATCTGTAAAATAAAAAATATTTTGAGCCATACGTAGTTTATTATGCAGTTTATTTTTTATATAAACATTGAACACACCGTATTAACAAATTCGGCTATTACTGGCGATATGGAATAATTTGATTCACACCAATCCACAGGAGAACTGCCACGTTCTAAATGCGACCACATTGTTATTTTTCAATAATCCTTTGTTTGAAATTCACTTTTGTTTCATAAATTATATATAAAAAAAGACAATAAATATTTTGCCGAAAAACAAAGATTTATTCTTTTAACTATTGAAGAGCGTCAGTATTGTACAAAAATATAGAAAAAAATGAATAAGTCGTATTATTTTTATGTCTGATTCTCACAAGAAGTTTTTTTTGTATTTTGCGATACAATAAATGCGACTCTCGCGAAGTAGAATGAAGAATGTTTTTATTTTCAATTTTGACACAAGCATTTATCAAGTATTTTGACGTTTCTGTAGCTGTGTTGTCATATTTCCTTAACTTTGCCATAGAAATAAACATCGAGGGTTCAACTGAAAGTTTAAAATTTATGATTTAATTGAATATTTTTTTTTTAAACAAATATACTGAATTATAAAAAATATTAATATTTTGACTTTATTATTAAATTGAATACTAAACATTTATTATTCAAAAATTCTGAATTTTATCAAAATTTTAATATTTTAACTTTTTTATTTTATATATTTAAATGGTCACCAAGTATAAAATTAATATTAGATGTTACGATTTAAGTGTGAATAAATTAGAATCTTATAATGCTTTCTGGCTCAAAGAACGGCTCTTGATCCAGTTAAAAAAAAGTCTATACTTACTCCTGTTATTTGGAGACCCCATATAATAATTAATTAATACGAACTAGTGAATAAATCGATTGATTAAATAGTGATGATGCCAACATTTTATTATTCGTTATCACTTTCATAGATTATAATTCCAAAATTGATAGAAATAAGGGGAATTAGGAAAATTCAATTAGTATTAGTTTGGAATATAAAAAAATACTCTCTTCGAATCTTCCTGCATAGTGCATATTGAAAAGTCCAGCAATCCTTAAATTCTTAATCATACTATATAGGACAACTGTTACAATTATTCTGCGGGTTATAAAGCATGACATGAAGCCTGTAAAGACTATCAAAGAGGGAACATTTCTTGGGATGAATTACTTTTGACAGAATACATTTCGATACAACAACCGCAGTATGGGCAGTATACAATGGGCTTAAAGCAAAACAAAGTATTCATATAAATAAAACTATTATTTTCGGATCACTTCTAGTTTTTTAATATTATTGAGTAGGTACATACTCCCGAAATATTGAAAGTTTTGTTTAAGTTTAGCTAAGGATTATTATTAATAGTTGAAGGAGCTATGAGTCATTCTGTATTTTCTGCAATTAATCTTTATTATTTAATTTACTCTTAATTTTAAGTTCTTCAAATATAATTTTGCACTCCATATTCCTGTCATTAGCCAATTGCCAAATGTTTTGTCCCAAATTGCAATAAAGGAATAATAAATAGTTATGTTACTTACAATAAGACAAACCGGCAAATTTATGTTAGTCACCTATTTTGTTTTATAAAACAGCAAAGCCTAATAGATTTTTATAATGACATTGTTACAATTTTATATATTATTAATTTTGTATCTGAACACATATGGAAATAAAATTTCAGTTACCAAAAGATAATCATATAGATGGATAATACAATTTTGTTTAGGAGCCATTAACACATATTGATAAATAGAAATTGGTTTTGTTGCTTGTATTTTTAATGTTGTAGGAAAATGGACACTCCAACATCATTGGAATTAGATTTCAATGAACATTGGGGAAACAGCATTTACGATGAAGTGTTGAGGGGTAAAGAAGTTAGAAATGAAAAGGTTAAAAATAACAGCACAAATTCAATTTATGACTATGACTTCGCAAAACTAAACTTCGATAGGCCATCGTGTTCCAAAAATGGAAGATCAAATATGCCAAGGTTAGCTAGAAATACAACCGAATATAATCTAAGCCAATTCTAACTAAATTCTATTTCAATGATATCGTCATTTCCAGAAAAGGCACATCAGAAGACGAACTCTACTTTCTACACGTGAGAAAGAAAAGAAATAAAAAAGGAAGAAGAATCAAACTCTGTAAAGGTACAAAAAAATGCCAAATGCGGATCGCTGAACTCGCAGTACCTTCCAAACGATACTGCATTGAAACGTGGAGGAGCAAGTGGGATACTCTTCCTATTCATATGGTTAAAACATTTTAAAGTTTGTTATTTTTATAATTATTCAACAACAATTTAACATAATGTTACCAAAAATGGACTTTACCATACTATGCTAATGAAAAACTTTTAGAGATTTGTCTCGTCCCGTAATAATTTAGCGTATAAAGTTCTCCACGACATTTTCTTATGAAACCCAATCATTTTTCATATATTATATAACTAGGTGGATAGACTGAGGCAAATTGTGTTGGATCAGAAACCAATCGTTCCCATAGACGATGCGATCAGGTGTTTCAAAAATGACAAAAGAATAAATTCAAGGTAGGTATTACACTTAATATTATTTCGTTAATGTAAATTTATGTCACCTCTAAGTGATGAAATCTCTAGGCCTCCGTGTAAACGAAATGTACCAGAAAGTAAGGAAATGAGAAGAATAAAATTGTTTTCTGCTTTCTTTGGATATCAAATAATATCAAGATTATTACCACCGCGCAATTTGACTTTGAGCTCACGGTAAGTAAACAGAATATTAGAATTTAAAGTAATAAAATTTTAAAATTAACTATCTGTTGTAGCTTAAAGCCAATATCTTACATTGTAAATGATGAAGTATCATTTCTCTGCCAAAAAAATAAATCGTCTAAACTAAAAGATGCTGTTATTCAAAAGGAAATTGTAAACAAGGTAAATTGAATTATATTATCTTATAAAAATCTGTTTGCAATTTATAAGAATTCATATTGATAATTAATTACAATAATACCTAATATTAATTTTGCTAATAATATTAAAATTTTGTGTGTCTTTATATTTTTACACTCTTTACTGCTGAATCGGAACAAACTATTGGGAATAAATTAAAAAAAAAAAAAAAAACATTTTGTTTTAGATAACAAACTGGATTGCTGACGTCATAGACCAGTCGGATTATAATTTAATGATGGAAGATTATAGAGGTTAATATTTGATATTTTTACTCATTTCTACCTTACCTTAACACATATATTTTTCTTGTTTAATATTACTATTATATTACAGAGTTAGAAAAAGAAGAAGGACACATATGGGATATAATTGATGAAATTGTGTATAACACTTTGGTAAGAACTAACTCCTTAAAACACTTTCGAATAAGATAAAAATAACAAGTTTGTTTAATACGAAAATCTTTCAGTTACTCTGCAAAGAGCCAAGCGTTAGCAGCTTGAGTGTGGATGCAAAATCTTCTGATGTTTATTATACTAATGACGATGACAGAACCCCTTCAGAAAGACATTCAGATGACGAAAATTTTGATGAATCTGGAAATATAGTATCCGATATTATAGAAAATATTATAAATGCTCATGATTACATAATACGGGATGAACTGGCAGCATCCCTTATATCTAATGTAGACGATACAGGAGATGCTGATAGAAAAACTTCATCTTCAAGTTTGGAAAGAGATATCCAAGACTTCATAATGAAATACATTGAAACTGTACATTCGGAATTGTTCAAATCTAGTCTTCTGGAGTTGATTGACCCATCCATTATCGATAATGAGATGGATAACTTTATAACAAACACTTATAATGAAACTGATCAAGAAAATGTACGAAAAATTCAAGAAAATACAAATAATGATCTAAAAGATACTGGGACTGATCTGACAGAACTTACTTCGAATGACAAAGGACCAACGAATAATTCATTTAATGATCTAGAAAACAATGGTAATGATATTCAGATAAATGAAATGAACCAAAATAATACATTGGAAAATACTCAAGAACGTAACGCAATAAAACATAACTTTGACGTAGAAAAAGACATTAAAACGATAAACCTTCCATCTACCCAAGGACAAGCAAAAGAAATGAATATAAAACTATCACAAGACAAATTGGAAGCAATAAAAATTGATCATAAAGATTCTGACGTAGCAAATGATCTAACTACAATAGAAAATAATCTTGTTAACACTGAGGAATCCGAAGGAAAATCACCATTTAATAATGTCACATCTGAAGACAGTCTTAAAAAAGTAAAATTTTCTAATATAACTATCGGTAATAATCTGTAGAGTTATCTATATAAGTACCTAAAAAAATTAGTAATTTTTCCAACTTATTATTTTCAGATTCCGGACATAGACAACTAGGTGATTCTGGGTATGATAATAATATCATTTCCATTTTCTTAAAAAGTTGGTTGATAAAAATAAAAGTAACAATCTACGCCTCTTTCCAGTATCAATGGTCATAAGGAAAATAACACACTGAAAAAAATTAATGTTCATTTAGCACCCCGTAATGATAACTTGCTTAGTGAGTTCTATACATTTATAAACAAGTTATAAGTGTTGAACAATAATTTTATTAGTGTTGAAATTTTATTCATAGGTGATGTGGATGAACCGTGGCCGGAAAATTTAATGTTCCCACTCGTTAAAGCTACAGTATCAGTCAGTAAATCTATATTATCATTAGGTAGAATCATGGAAATTGATGAAAAATATAACGAATCTCGCATTAACTCAAATATGGAAGACGCTACTGAGATAGAAGAAAATTCTGATAAAACAAAAGACGTTCTAACCCTTCAAAGTTTATACAAAGTTGCCGACAAATTAAATAAAGAAACATTAACGAGTACTGATGAAGAAATTCAATGTGATTTATACAAAGATAGCACCAATGTAGGAACTGATATAGACAGAATACGAAAAATTAAATGTGAAATGTTATCAGAGAGACGTCTGTCTGCTTTTGAAATCCATCCAGAAATAATAATACACCAAGAGCCTAGTCCTGATGTTGCGAAAAAAGATAAAAGTACTGAAATAAAATCTAGTGAGACTAACTATTCAATTCCTACACATAACCCCTTTAAAGGTATTCTTTAGCTTCAAATAAATAATAATTAAAACCACCCTTAAAGATTCTTAATTTGAACTTAAATATTTTAGATTACCAGTCAACGGAAACCGGTATACGAATTTGGTGCAAAGGATTGTACAACGTTACGAAAAATTTGGATATGTGGTTGGACTGGATAAATAATTCCTGCAGTTACATTTTGTATTTACATGAAAAAGGTAAATAAAAATGTTTTGTGAGTCGTTTAAGCTTATGGTGAATGTATATATTCAGTCCAAGTTCCGGAACATTCAGTTCCCCAGACAGCCTTTGCCTTTATAGTTTTTCAGTATACCTACGTTACTTTGAAAATTTGAATTTACAGCGAAAATTACACCATATGAACAAAACAAACATTGTTATAATCGCAAATGGATTAACTTAAGAACAAATATTGACTCCGACGCGAGATTATGGAAGAAGTTAAATACCAGTCTTAAAATTGGATTAAGGAGCTATAAACGATATTACAAAAGACCTCAGGTACGTCATATTATATTAAATATATTTCAAAAACTACAGTATATTAGGGTCTCAAGTTACTTAATACTATTACTGTTTTTTAGCTTGTGGCTTTAAACTGGTGAAAATTTATTCCGTAATCTATCTGCATGCATGTATCTATGTATGTATGTATGCATCTATCTTTTAAATAAAAAAAAACTATATTAAATTGGATTACAGTAACAAGAGAAAAAGATTAATATGTTGTTTGCTTCCTTGTTATGTAAATTAAATTGTCCAAAAAAATTCAAACATAATTTTTTCAATTTTGTGTGAATTATGTCAAAATACTAATAAATAAAATTTCTCTTAAATTGAATCACGGCAATCCTTGCCAAGTTTTTCGAGACATCAAAAGGCCAGTTTTCACTAAATTTCGTGACAAAATATTGTTTTATGTAAGAGATAAAAATAAAAAACCAAAAACTTGGTTTTTCGCATTTTTCACCAAAATTTTGAGGTTATGTGAAAAAAATGTAAGTGCAAAAGATTTAGATCTTTTATTACCTACAACTTTGCCATATAACTTTTTTCCGTAAGACTTTTAGTTTTGCCGGAAATCGAGAAAACCTATTTTTTACCCTTAAATACCCATCCCCATACCCTTCCCGACTTCAGATAGCCCGTAAATTATTTTTCCTTTAATTTTTATAATATTCTCCTCCTTTTCTAATGAGTTTCGTTCTACTATAATTTATTTTCACTTTTCATTAATTTTAAAGGCTTCTGCACTGGCTTATTTGTTTCTATTAGTGAAGACATTTTTTAAGCAAAATAATAATAATATTTAGGTGTCAATGTCACATGTATAATATTATACAACTACGGGCCACGGCTAGTTATGTTGTTGTGATCCTTCTAGAAAGCTCCTTACGTACAAGATGTTTTGGTTTTTGCCTTAAACCTTGTACATATATACCTAACATTTATCTTCACCGCATATATAGTCTTCTCAAAGTTATAATAAACTTAGTCCAACGAAGGTCAATCCTTATATTGTCACTATAGAAAACATCATATGAATTTTGAATTTATGTTTGCCAATTCTGTTTAGCAATATATAAATATATTCTATAAACCTGCCATGTAACGAGGTATTGCGTCAATCTAATGACATTAAACCATCAAGCGTTATACGAATATAAATTGATTTGAATATAAAGAATGCTTAATTTACCAACTGGATTAGGTACACAAGAACAAATTGAAATTTTTTTGTGCTATTAAAACTAATTAATGTAGTCTATAACGAACTATCGGCATAAAGTCATTTAATTTCTTTAAAACAAAGTAATGTTAGTCACTTAAAAACGAGATTAACTAAAATATCAAAAATTGTATATTTTAATAAAGATTTTTTAATACTATGTTGTCACGTGACTGCAAAATCCATGAGTTTATTACGTCATTAACTACAAAACAATATTCTGTCTTATTTAATTATTTGGGATTTGCAAATATTTTTCATAAATTTTGCGTTCATTTTAAATATTAGTTTTAAAGCAAAAATATAAAAAAAACAAATTGGATACCTATAAAGTCGCGACGAATATTTTGCAATTGTAATAAGATGATAATGATAGCTGTTAATGTTTTGGCGGTAAAATTAAAAAAAATACTTTTTTATATAGTTTTTCACCAGAACCATTAATGTTTTTAAAAAATAATATTAATTATAGTAAACAAGATTTAATCTTCTATATTCTGAAAATCGTCAACATCCCTTCAAATAACAAACATTTTTAGCCGTTAAATAGCTAATATACAAGTTACAACTTAATAATTAAATTTTTGAGTCGTATGTGTTGAAAAGCAAATTGAATAAAAACTAGTATTCTGTTACGTCTTACATTGATCGCGAATGCTGTAAAATAGCCACAACGACCACAGTCACCGTTGGATTGAACAACTGCGGGACATATGTATAACACTTTATTTTAAGAATATTGATACATATATGATATAAGCAAGTTTAAATAAAATCTATACGTTTAGTTAAACACTTTTGAAATCAAATATTTTAAATGAGCTATGTATAGCAATTCGATCAAAAGAAAATTGCGTTCTGAAAGATTTGCGGTGTCCGTAGCCAATGGCAGTCACAATATATGGTTATTTTTACACTCCTTGTGCATATTTTACTTATGTTGCACACCAGCATTATTTACTTTGTATCTAAAATCTAAATATTATTAAAATAAAGAAGAATAATCCTCGAAGAGTACATTCAAATTAAATTAAACTTACGTAAATGAAATACTTAATCTTAAACAAACACATATTATCGTCCTAAAATGTATATGTATATAAATTTTAAACCGAAGAAAAAAAAAACAATTGGAAATATAGTTTATATTTAAGTTTACTTAATTTCTAAATAGTACAGTTCAAGCCCATGGCAAATTTTCTATTTACTTTTAATTTAACAATATTCTTACACACTATATTACTTAAAGTGCACATTAATCTGGTTGAAATCATACTTCCTAATGTATGTATCACGACACCCAACGAACACCCACTTGCCATTAAAAGCAATATCTCTTATTCCATCACAATCTGAACCAGTAAGTTGAACCCTGAGATTACTGTGAGCTTCTAGTATGGACATAACAGAACAATTGCCATCTTGTCTTCCAACAACAAATAATTCATCAGTCAATGTTTTTATACTTAAAACTGGGCTTGCAGATTCATGAATTTCTTTGACAATAGCACCATCAAGTACACTTAAGAATATTATCTGCAAGAAATTTATATGGATATTAAAATAAGTAATATCTAGGAATTAATATGTTCAACTCATTGTTGACATTGAATATTTTAAATTATTACCTTTCCATCACTACCTCCTAAGACAACAGTTTTATCAATAATGTCACAGGCATTACACGCTGAGTCCATTTGTATCCTATATAATTCCTGTCTTTTTCCAACATGAGCACATATTACTGAACCACTTTCACAACCAACTACTAATAGCTTGTTACCCGTTCCTACCTGAAAACACAAGTTTGAAACTATTTATTATATATTTTGTAATTATTCTTGTAACTACACTCCTATCTCTAATATGTAACTTTATTTCAACGAACCAGATATGTTTCAATTGTATTGAACAAAATTATTTTTTATTCATCTATACTAATATTATAAAGCTGAAGAGTTTGTTTGTTTGTTTGTTTGAAAGCGCTAATCTCCGAAACTACTGGTTCGAATTGAATAATTCTTTTTGTGTTGGATAGTCCAGTTATCGAGGAAGGCTGTGGGCTATAAAACATCACGCTACGACTAATAAGAGCAAAGATATAGTGGTAAATGTGTAAAAAACGGGAGAAATTATTTCATCTTTGAAGCCTTCCGTTGCGTGCGCCGTGAAAACGGTTCAAGATACACAAAAAATATGTATCAAAGAATAATAGCTCTTTTAATGATCTAAAAAACAGTCCGCGACAGTATATATCTATCTTTTAAGATTAACTCACAAAAACCGTTTTTATTGTACCTAATTTGGTCGAAATAATTTGTTTAAGTTGTATCAACATAATAATAGTAATCTTTATTCAAATAAACAAATAAATATGTTGTTGGTTAAGAGTACTTCATTGTGAATAAAAAAGACATAAGTTTTATCCTGAAAATTCTACGGCAACTCGACCATTCCGAAAACCCTGCAAGAACGGGAACTATGTGGGAACTATTCCACGCGGACGGAGTCGTGGCAAAAGCTAGTTTACTATAAATTGGATAAGCAATGAGATTCAATATCAAAGAGTTACGTATCAGACACTAATCTAATGCAAAGGCTTATGTTTTTGCACCTATAATGATTTATAGACAATATAATTTAGATTTTACCTCTCTTTCATTCTCAATATTAACTTCATCAGCGGTACTTGTAACAGCACAACAATTTATTGGTCCCGGAGCCTCAATAATGTTGTCTAAACAATTTGATTCACCAACATCCCATAGTTTAGCTAATCCATCCCTAAAATACATATAATTAAAAATTCTCATTAATGAATCACTAACTTGTGATATAAATTAAATAACAGTGAGTTAATTAAAACAATTTTATACAACATATTTAAATAAATATTACTTACTTACTAACAGAGATTACATTACGTCCCTTATCAACGATACTGATATCCATAATAGCCATTTTATGACCTTTTAACGTGACGGGATTTATTCCAGATTCAGCGGACCAGATCCTACAGGAGCCGTCAGCGCCAGCCGATAGAACAACAATACCAGATGGAAAGAATCTGCACTTGTACACCGGCCCACCATGACCCTTTAGATCTAAGAGCTGTTCATCTATAAATAAAATACCCCTTAATATACCTTTTAACACAAAATTATTAATAAAATATAATATTTGTTGCATAATTTTGTTCATATTTTCCATGTTAAATTTTATAACTATATAAATAGTATTTTTATTCAAATGTTTACATTTGTTGCTTAAATTTTATGAGTCGTTAATGAGATCTAAGATTTTGAAAGTATTCATTTAAATAAAACTTATATTTTTTGTATGTACTATGCAAAGTTTATTTTAGAAAAAAAACTACATACTTCTGATGTTGCTGTAAAGTAGCCGAAACGTCTTGAGTATGTAGTTTTATCAAAAATAAAATTAGTGTAGTACATCCGAAAAATATTAGTTTCATGTATGAGTAGTTAATGTAAATATTTTGTATACAGATTAAAATTCACACAATATTATTCAATAAAAAGTTAGTTGTTTTAAAATGTTGTTTCATTATTAACAATAATTTAATCTCTTACTTGTTCTACTATCCCACACCAGTAATTTATCTTGTTCGCATGAAGACACAACCAATGCACTATCAGCTGTTGAAACACTGATAATATGGATTTCTTGTGCACATCATGAGCTTTTGTACATGCAACAAAAGCTACTTTCAAACCTGACTCATTATGTCTTAAAACGAGACTTAAATTATTCTTTGAGATAAGTTGATAGTTCTCTGGTACATTTATTTTGACTTTTCCATCTGACTGATTGATCGCTGTTGTTATTTTTTCATGAATACTATTTGTATTCAAGTATTTAGCTGATATCCAAGCTTCTGATTTGGGTAATCTGTAGAATATATAAGGGTTAAATAAATAAATACTATTCCTTTATAACCAAACCATTAATATTTACCTTAAAGCATCATGCCAGTCACACTGAATATTAATAACAGGATATAATTTAGACATCTTAAAATTAGCTTGTCTTAAAAGCTATTAGATAAATAAAAAAAAAGTAAAATACTAAATTAAGTAGTATATATTGTTCCCTAATCAATTTATGTGTATATTTCTATTTCTTGATGCAAATGTATAGTGGAGTTCAATTCTTATTTTGATGCATTTGTTTATTGCTAAAATAAATTGCAGGATCACGCTGTCAAGTTATTATTTCTGTCAGACGTCAAAGTTACTGAGAGTCAGTCTGAGATATATATTTTTGTGAGATACGTATGTTATATCTTAATTTAATCCATCATCTACTGTATAAGTCTTTTGCACGGATGAAGGCCATATTTAAAACAACCAACCAACCATAATCCAATGTACAGTAAATAATTGTGACTAAAGTTATTGGTATAAGTTAAACCCTAGAAAAATTATTGTTTTTATATTTGATGTATTCAAAATGTAATGTTTTCTTTTCGGTCCAATAATATTCTAGAAAGTGTAGTATTTCAAATATTACATTTATTTTAAATATGAAAATATTATTGAAGGACAATCTCAACTACTTTACATTGACAATAATAGACAAGAGTTCTGCAAAAATGAATTTGACATTGATTAACAAATATCAAAAAGTGTCAGATCTCGAAACAAAGTGGGCGAATTTATGTTTTGATTTCGTTTGTAGGTTTATGAACTTTTACAAGAAAACAATTTTAGAGTAATGTGTATATATAATAGTTTATATTGGAAAGATGCATTTTTCTATTCCTGATTTACAACAATTTCGCGATGACAATGGAATCACTTACACAGTGCGTAACGTTATTTACTAGTTCTTAATTTATAAAGTAAATATGTTCCACTTACGCTTTTATAGCCTACATGTATTAATTTGCATGTTTTCAACGCTGTTTTCTTTGCAATATTTATATTTAGAGATATCTATTCCGTTTTCTCTAGGGCTACAATGTCTACATCGATGGATTCTTTCACTGCACGGCTCGATACAAACAGCTGCTTAGCCTTCACGAACAACTGCAAGCTCAATATCCGCACTTTAAGTTACCACAGTTTCCACCTAAGAAATTATTTTTAACTAACTCTCAGCTGGAAGAAAGAAGGATTTTGTTAGAAAAATACATTCAATTAAGTAAGTAGCGTAATAAATAAAACTTATTACAAAATTAGTGCAGTATATACTGATATATGTTTAATTGTTCCAGTTGGACAGAATCCTGTGTTTGCAAATTCTGGTATACTCATAACATTCCTATTCTCTGCTCAACAAGAAACTCATTCTGTGAGAGTGCATGTTGTGGACATAGAGGTGTCACTTATGAATGGTTACAGAATACCACTGTCGGTATCCTCAACAGATAGCTCTAGTACAGTCTTAGACATAGCGTGCAACTATGTTAACCTGTCAAAAGATCTGACCAAATATTTCTCATTATATCTCTTTAATTGGAGCTGTGCTAAAGACAGACAGCCATGTATCAAGAAATTAGAAGAATATGAATCTCCGTACATTTCCCAGAAGTATGTGAGGCCGGAAGACAAAATTGTTTTACGGAAAAGGTACTAAATGTAATATTATATTGATAATATTAATTCTCATCTCATCTGCCCATGATAATGTATGTTGCAAAGTAACTGAAAGTTTGTCAATATGTTGTTAAAAATAAATTATAAATGCACAGAAAATCTCAAAAATATTAGTCTTTTTTATATGTAATATTATTACTGTATGATATGAATATTTAAAGCATATTCTATATTTTTAACTATTGTTAAAACATATATGAAATAATTTATTTTCAGTTACTGGGATCCATGTTACGACCTAGATTTAATGATAGACAGGGTTTCACTAGATTTATTATATCTCCAACTAATTGAAGAACTGGATCTTGGTTGGATGGTAGCTGACCAGGACGCAAGGGAAATTTTATCGGATCACGAAGCTAAGAAACAAAAGAGAGAGGTGATTTTGTAGCAATTATTTAATTTTTCTATCTGTTGTATTCAATAAAACTATATTAAATTTGTCATATATGTATTGTGTTACATAGCAAACTGAATGACATCAACTAATATAATAATCTACCTACATTACACTTGACATCATATTATTATTTTAACAATACCGAGCAGGTATAACCAATACATAACGCTATCACATTCAAAAATATTCAGATTTATACTCGGATCCATATAATTCTTGGATTATCATACATGATCAATCAATGGAAAAACATAGTTATTTATTGAATAAATAAAATGCATGTCGGACTTTAAATCTTATTACTTTTTATGTATGACCATGTTTAGTGAATCACTTTAACACATGTGATGTCATGTGTTTTGGCATCATAATAAATAATATCTTTGGTGACTATGATTGACTCATAGTTTAATATATATGTATATATTATTTCATAATCAATAATATTGTATTATACATAAGCTTTGTGCACTTTAGTTTTACATATAATATATATTTTGCCATCAGTTTAATAATCTATTTTTTGGTGACGCAATCTGTGAAGTTATTTTTCTTAATGATTTTCCTCAAAGAAGTATTTGAAGATATTTAAACTGCCTTTATTTTCCTTAAGTAAAGTATTGTTAAAGTAAAAATTCTCTTTAAATAAAATATTTTGATTCCATCATCTATTAGTTATTACAAGTATTATGTACCTATTACAAATTATTATAGCAGTTAAATATCAATTACAACCTAAAACCTGGAATTCAAGGCTGATAGCAATATGCATTAAGTAAATAATTTTTAAGTTAATTTAAACATAATTATAATTATCTTATTGCCCAATTATAATGTTAAAACAGATTGCCTGTTTTTATCTAAATTTTTATAACCATTTAAAATGAGAAATCAAATGTTTATTTTAATACATCTGCTGACTTTGTTGTAATGACATATTTTCATTATGGCCAGTGATCATTTTTATTTATTGTATTCGTTAATTTCTTTTCAAATTTTAAAGTTGGATAGAATCAGTCGCCAATTAGTAGAAGAAAAACAAATATGTATGATAGATATTTTGATGATGATTTATTAAAAATAATTTGTTTATTTATAGTTGTCAGGAGAATAAATTAAGCAATTCATATTAATATTTCAAAAATCAGTTATCAAGACAGATTTTTTGAAATTTTTAATGTAGTTAAAGTTAATAATAATTTATATGATTTTTTTATTCCAAACTATACTATTTTTTTTATATTCCAACAATAAAAAAAAGTGCTTGGAGTCCCTCCGCGCGGAAGAAGTAAAACGAAGTTTTATAACGATATATAAAACTTCGTTTTACTTCTTCCGCGCGATATATATATTCATAACGAATTATGTGGAAATCAAAATAGGAAAAGTAGAAATCAATTTTAATGAACCCATATTATTGTTTCTTTGCTTACAAAATTGCCCAACCCCCTTAAATCTCGCTCCGTCTCTTTCTATTAACCCCTCCCTAGAAGCGTTGGACGTTTAACGCAACCTTGTTGTTCCATCACATTAGAATTATCACTACAAATATTTCCTCCTTGTATGTGTATTGATTTGATAAATTTATCCAGTACATAGAAATGGCCCGTACGTTGAGGCACTACGGTAGTGTTCCCGCCGGGGAGGCGATCACTGACGCTATAAACGTCGGTGATAGTAATGGTTCTATCCGCGTGAGAGTGTCCTTGGCGTCCAAGGAACTGACCCTCACCAGTCTTGACACGAGACACGAACAGAGGTACAAAGTAACAAGGATGAGATGCTGGAGAATAACTACCTTACATACCGTGAGTATATCTTCATACGTTCAACTAGTGTTGTATCTCGATAGGCTATTGATAAAAGTAAAGACCGATAGTCGATAGTCACTATTCTATCGATAGTAACGTCACATTTTAATACTATCGATATTATGGCACTTCTTAAATAACACTATTGAAAGTGGTAATACTATCGATACCATCGATAGTATTACCTTCAATACTATCGATAGTATTACCATATACCATACTATCGATATTCTGAATAGTTTTCGAGGTCAACTATCGATGGTCAGGAACACTACATATGATCAACATTATATTCCACTGTCAAACTAGTAGACAGTTTTTCATTGATTTATAATATCATTAATATACATTGATATTTCGTGATAGAAAAGATTTATAACGATACTAGCTTTCTGCCCGCGTGGACTTCGGTTATATCGCGTTTCCAAGAGAACCTTTCAAAAGTCTGGGATGAAAACTATCCTATGTTCTTTCTCAAGGTCAACTCAACTCTATCTCTGTACCAAATTTCATTAAAATCAGATCAGTGGTTTAGGCATGAAAGCGTAACTGACAGACAGTTACTTTCGCATTTATAATATTAGTAGGGATATTCACAAACTCTCTGTTTCTGTTATAATTGGGACGTGGTTAATCAGCCTCGTTAAGCAATGCGTTGTTGTCGATAACATATCAATTATAATTAAAAAGAGTTTCATACAGTCTCCATAACAAATTCGACATGCAATTTAAATTGAAACGAATATAAGCATTCATTTCAAAATTTCACGCAAAGATCGCAATTTTTAGTATTTTTATTTTTTTTATAATTACTGCCAACATTATACAGGCATAAGATGCGATAATCTTGGTTGGTTCATATATGACAAAAAAAATTAATATAATTTATTATTAATAAATTTCTAAGTAAAGTAACTAAAAGTTATGTAATTATTACGCATCGTGTTATTAGGTATACCACACAGATGGAGCGTCCACACTAGGAACGTCAACAAATACAAATTTGGTCAAAAATTAAGTACGAATCACCGACGATAGTACTCCTTTTATTATAGACGAGCCCAGTAAAAACTTCGAGCTCTCCTTCGAATATCTGATAAGCAAAGACAATCTAGTTTGGGTGACGCTTAGAACGGAACACGCTATATTCATAAGCGTCTGTTTGCAGGTTTGTAAATCATTATTATTTTTTTATTGACGTCGTGATGCCCTAGTGGTTAAATTCCCTCCTTGTACACGAGGGCTCGGGTTCGATCCTGGCAAGTACCAATGTGATTTTTCCGAGTCAAATGTACTTTCTAAGAGTATTTAGACATCACTGACAGACGGTGAAGGAAAACATCGTGAGGATACCTGGACTTGTTGAATGTATAATTTCAAAATATGAATTTGAAATCACCAACCCGTCTTGAGCAAGCGTGGTGATTTGTGGTCAAATCCTTTCCATATGAGAAGAGGCCTTTGCTCAGCAGAGGGCTCTGATAGGCTGAAGATGATTTGTTATTACTAAAAAATACAAATTAAAAATGTATATACATAGCTAGTATAATTATTTAAAAAGTCTAAAGCGTTTTGTTTATCAATTTAAGTCCCTACGATCATGTATACATACATGTGTCAAAATAAACGTCTCATAAAAAATATTTAAAAAAAATCCTCAGACTATCAGAGCCCACTGCTGAGCATAAGCCTCTTTCTCACATAGAGAAGGTTTGAGCAATAATCACCACCATCATTAATTAATAAAAAATATTATATAAATAAATACTGTGTTTCAGTCAATCGTTGAGGAGCTGATGCGTCAGAAGAACGGTGAAGGTCCTAAGTCCCCTCGTTGTAAACGGGCGAGCCTCACTTATTTGCGACGTGATGGTTCAACACATCTCATAACACCGTCTTCATCGAGCGATACACTCAGCTCTGCAGTTAGTATTACTTTATTTACTTATTACATACTAGCTGTGCCCGCGTCTTCGTCCATACGAATTATTTCCAAACAAAAAAATATCTCTATATAAAACCTTCACACGTTCATTGACATTCACTAGTGGTGGTTATATTTGTACATAATTATACACTAATTACTATATAATATTATGGGTGCTGCAGGCCTAAATGGATTGGTAAGAGAGCAAAAAAAAGGAGGGGGTCTAGAGGCCTAGTTAAGTTATAATAGTTTTTCTACTGAAAAGCACTACAAATACCTAATGGTTGAAAGAAATAATTTATGCTCAAAGTAGGCAATAGATAAAATTAAGTTAAGGTACCTATGTTATTTAACATAGTAAATTTTATGATTGTTCCTTCAGAATGGCGATTCATCCGGCAGTTCGAGGGAATTGTTTTCAGTACAAAAGCTAACAGAAAAATTCGCATCTGTAGCCTTCAAGACGGGCAGAGATTGTGTTGAAAACAACGCGTTCGAGGCCATCGGTGATGAGGAACTATAAGGGTTTGAAATATACTCCCAAAGAACGAACAGCAAGGAAAATGTACTTGATGCCAGAACTGTACAGAATTTATTTTATACTTATGAAGTATCTACCGATTTTTTTTTTGTGTACATAAATTTTATTAAGCGGTTATCATAATGAAATGTTTATTTTAATTTGGCTATGAATACATTGAGCCATACGCTTGCCATATCTTGAATAATTTATACTTCTATAAAACATCATATGATTAAGATAATTTTGTTCTACAATTTTATTTTCTTATATAACAGTACATTTTTAAGTACACCATATATGTAATGTTAAGTGTTGACCGACAACAGAATAAAAAAGATAATTTTTCATATAAAATCAATGTATTTTAATGGTCTAAATAGGTAATTATGTAAAAAAAATCCTATAACTTTCGTATATTAAGGCTAAATCAAAGTCCTTTCTTGATACACACTGGTACTTAATTATAAGAAATTTACAAATGTCTCAAGTTGTCCAAAGAGTTTGATTTGCGGTCATGTTCAAGTCAGTGTTGCCATCATCAATTGATAAATATTACTACTATATATTACATTTTTTATCACTAGTAATAAATGAAATTTACTTTTTTGTCTATACATATATATGGGCCAAAAACACCCCATGATATTCAAAGCTAAAATTAATATTTAGTAATACATAGAATTTATTTTTAGAGAAACATGAACAATTATAATTTTTATTGTATATTAAGTCTTTATTTCGTTTACTTGTTACTTCTGATTTTTTATGCTAGATTTTACTTTATATCTTAAGTGTAACATAAATTGGAATTTTTATTGATCAATCAGTTTTCCTCTATACATTTGCAACTAGAGAAAATGTCTCTTTTATACATATAAGTATAATAATTTTGGTTTGTAATTTTTATATTCAACATATCTCTGTAATTATGTCATATTTCAGTCAATGAATTATGAATTTGAAAACAATTTTTATAATTTAGTAACGACGAATGTAAGTAAATGTTCTCTGAAGTCATCAAAATATGTTTGTAATATTTTTATTGTTATGTAAATTTTTCTTAATAAAATATATTTTCACATTATATTTTTTGGATTTAAATAAAATACTGCTCATTTATTAATAACTAACTTTATTTAAATTAACATAATATGACAAAGCATTTTTGCCGAGGGATTAATATTCCTTCTCCCATTTTTCACGCTCCTTCCTTTCTTTTATAACTTGTTCCACGATGGGGGTGAGGTAAAGCTTGTCTTCTTCATACTTTGTCCATTCTTCTTTGGGCAAGACTATTTTCTGCAAGGACAGCTGAGTAGCGCGGACTAAACGGAAGTTACGTTCATCCACAACATGGTCAGGCAGGCGACGTAAAGCTTCTTGCACATCTTCATTTTCGTAGAGACAGTCGTCTCGGAGAAGACCTTAATATGAAAAATGCGACTGTACTTGTATTTATTGGTACTTTTTAGTATAAGATTACTAAATTAAGGTTGTTTTAAAATTAAGAACATGTTTACCACGGCTTAGCATCCCTATCAGCTACCCCGGTGGGTATTAGATATTATGTTAAAGAAAATATACTATCTCCCCTAGTATTGTTTATCCTTAAAATATGTACTCCGATTGAAACAGTTGCAGCCATTAAAGTTTCAGAATGAATGATATCTTCAATAAATACATACCATATTTGTTAAATCCAGAAAGGTTGTATGCCCATTTGGACAAACTGCCTGAAAATAATGATACATGGTTATATAATAGGAAAATCAATATGAAACACTTTGAAACAAATTAATCAGTGCAAAAAACTTACTACGCAAAACAGCAGTCGTTCTCAATGCCATTATGCTTGTAGTATCACAATTCTGTTGTAAAGATCAAACGAACCCCTTTAAAATATCGTGCAAGAATTCTGATTCTACAACATCGAAATTTAATTTGACATTGACAGAAGTGAAAATCCTAGAAAATCAATTGTCAAAGCTCAATTAAAATAAGGAAGTAAAATATAAGTGTTGCTATTTTGTATAATTTAACACAAACAATATTTTCATAAAATATTTTTATGAAACGACCGTAACTGTAACCGTATTTATTAAAAGAAGTATCCTTAAAGTCAAAGAATATTTAAGGTTTTTTAGTTTCAATAAATAATAAAGTAAGAAGTTACTAAATATTAATTTAAAAAAAACTCTCTCAAACAATTTGTATTTATTCTAAGTTATTTTAATAAAAATGTTTATGTTTTATCATAACTTTACGTGTGTCCATATTTAAAAAGGAAAACTTTTTTTAGAAACAGCTTTATATATATTTACAACATTCACTTTTTAAAACTACAATTAAACATATTCAAATCAACCTGGATATTTTGTTTATGATATCATTCTCTCAACATTCACATGAGGAAGAAAAAATTTCATATTTATATTTAACTTGGACTGGTACTATTTCTGTTTAAATAGATATAGTATGGTTTTGATTTCAGAATTAAAGATTAATTTCATTTTAATTTCAGAATACAAACCTAATATAACAGTTTAAGGATGTAGACGTGTTTGGGGGCTATAAGTTATTATTAGAAAAAGTAGATTCATATGAAATTTAATTTTTATTATATTGCTTTTCTGTGACCCAAAAATAAAGTAACAGTTGATTTATCCGGTTACTTTTTATCAAACTTTAAAAAAATTATGACGTTCTGATGATTGTTGAGGGTTTTTACCTGCCATCCAAATTAAAAGTTTTAGTTCATATTTTTTGACATATTGACACATGTTACAACTTACTAATGTACAATAGGGACCTAGGAGTCAGATTTATACATATATTATACAGGTAGTAAGTACATAAAATATAAATGAATGATTACAGACGTAGAATATTAATATTATTCTTAACAAAGCACATTATAATTGTTTTTCATCCATTATATAAATCATCCCTATAGTATGCTTTATTCATCAATTGAAAAAATGAATAGGTTAATTATGAATATTATTTATATAAAAACCTCTTACATAAATAAATAGTATTTGCAGATTATATGAAGAAACGATGTGATGTCAAAGATAAACACGGCTCGGTGGCTCATGATAATATATAGTTACTCGTGCTCTATTCGTGTCTCTTATCAACATGTTTATTTGTAACTTTGCTCGTCTTTAAGTAAACTTCGTATAACCTCGCTCGACCTCCTAGTTCCTTGGCCCGCTTATCACAATCAGCATGAATAAAATGAGACTGCGAAAGGTAATTGATTCACATTTGTCTCGCGCTTTGTTCAGTTGTACATCTCGTACAATCAAGTCGGGTTGCTTTATTTGCTAATACAAATATTATAGTACTGTTTTAAGGGAATACTAAATCAGTGTTCATTAACTTAGTGATTTTTTCGTCCATTCTGCATCCAAGAGGAGGAATGCAAAGTGACTGTCGTGACTGTTTGGGGATTCGTTTTCGAATTAATACCCTGCACCAGACCTGGAAGTGGTTACATCAGACAATCGCACTACACGAGTATCTGATCTCCCTCTCTTCGGCAGATACTGACGCCTGCACCGAAACATACTAGTGTTTATAAACTTTTAGTGACTTTAAATTTAGTTATAAAGACTTTGCCTGTCAAAGGTTCATAAAGAAAAGTATCCGTTCATTATATCATAAAAATGGCCCAATCAGTGCTAAGGAAAATCGCCATGAGCAACATGCTAGTGATGGTCGGTCTGACAAGACGAACCAGTTCTCGTAGTTTGACAACAGGTAAAAAGTTGGCTACAACAAAAGCCAACAGTGTCTTGCCACCGGAGAGGGAAGTCACAAAGTCTGTATTTATGTCCCAGTCTACTGACATATACACCAACTTGGCGTTAGAAGACTGGATGTACCGCAACATGGATTTCAGTAACCACCATGTGATGATGGTGTGGCGTAATGAGCCATGCGTTGTCATCGGTAGACATCAGAACCCATGGCTTGAAGCTAATGTTCCATTTCTGAATGATAAAGAAATACCTCTGGCTCGTCGCCACAGCGGAGGTGGAACTGTGTATCATGATCGTGGAAACCTAAACATCTCCTTTTTCACACCAAGAGACAGACATGACAGAAAATATAACTTAGAAATCATAAAGAGAGCACTATACAGAGATTTTGGAATTAAGGCCCTTATCAATGAACGTCACGACATTCTTGTCAGAGACAAGTACAAGGTATTCTTTTTATACTAAACATTTCTATATATTTTAGAATCTGTTTTGATATTCAAAAGTATTACTTTTAACTACTATTTTTAATCTTAATATCATTGTTATGTCAGATCTCTGGAACAGCTGCGAAACTGGGTCGTACATCAGCATATCATCACTGCACACTTCTAGTCAATGCTAACAAAGCAGATCTCAGTAAGGCTCTAGCAAAAAGAGAGGTGAGTTACTTCCCGAATTTACTCTTGATTACTATTTTAGCCATAAGATCATAAACTAAATAACCATTAGTTTAGGCTACATAGATATATATGAAATATAAAAGCATTATATTTTCTTAAGAAATCTTTAACTCAGAACAAAAAACCTGTTATTGTGTTGAAACTATTCTTACACATATTAATTAAATTACATACAAGTAGATTCTAATTAACTCTTTAAACTTGTATACTTGACTCACCATTGTTTTTACAAACAGATTGTACTGAGCATGAATAATTATAATTAATATTCTTTGTATTGAATAACAATTAAATAGTGATTATATGAACGTAAAATCACACTACTCATTTCATATAACATGATTGGTTTATTCCGTGCTAACATTATCTGGTCCACTAACATTAACCTGACCTCTTCCCTCATCTCATATGTGATAAGATCACTTATTCTATAGCATGGCATACAGACAAAGGCGACTGCGTCGACGCCGTCCCCCGTGGTCAATTTGGTGGACGTGAACAATAGAGTCACCGTGGACAATCTACAAATTGCTGTGGGCTACGAGTTCCTCAGAACGCCAGCCCTTCATTTGGAAGACGGCGGTGAAAATCAGATCTCAAAACAAAGAGGATTCCAGTTTATAAATCCAACAGAAGATTGGTTCCCAGGTTGGTATATAAAGATAATAAGAACAAAATAAATTAAACTAAAATATTAACATTTATATTTTATTTGATATCAATCACTACAATATACAAATTTAAAGTATGTTTCTTTAATGGAAAAATGTTATATTCTCATTACAGGACTTTCAGAATTGAAGAATGAACTGCAGACATGGGAATGGTCATTTGGCAGAACACCCGAGTTCACCGTGAGCAGATCTTTCCCTGTACCGGAAGATTTACTTGCTCCTAGCAAAGTTTACTCGGCTACTCAAGAGCTAACTATTAGTATGACGGTGGAGAAAGGCCTTATTAATGACGTCACACTGAATATACCGCCGGGTTTGGTTGAATCTGGCTTCCACGGAGAAGCCTCTGTCATCACACACCTTAAAGGCAAGAGGTTCACATCAGAGGCCCTCACTGCCCTCCAAGAGGCAATGCTTCGTCACACCGATGGTGAAGTCAGGAAATTAGATGACAAAGAACAGTTTGTAGCTAAATGTTTTGACCAAGTCGTGAACACTATCTAGATCCTATTTGTTTAATACATTTTCTTTTGTTGTAGTAAGTATTATTATTGTGATTTTGTTATTGTCCACTGATTGTAAATTTTATCACTAAGGTTTAAAGGTTACAAGCGATTATATATAAAAATATATTTTCATATTATGTGAATGTTATGTATATTTTCATGCTTTTGATACTATGCTTTTAGATACTACTAGTATATTTTTGCTACTTACAAATTTCCTTTGTTTTTTGGTTAGTTTATTTTTTTTAGTTTAGTGTTTATTAATTAAAGAGACTCGTTATGTAATGTAATAATACTAGTAAATAGTATTGTTTATGCAACATAGTCACGAGTCTCAGAAGCCCGCGGGTCGCACGTTGAACGTCGAACGCTACAAGAATGCATCATATCATTTGTTTTAGTTAAATTTTAATTTCTTTACCCAATATATGTACCCTTGTAATGTTGTAAACGCATAACATATACGTTGTAACTTTTTAATTTTAGTTATTTTTTGAATCCACCATTTCATTTTTCAGTTTCCACTTTTTGTATAACATCTACCCTAAACGGGTACTTTTTTATATGAAATGGACATAAGGCAAAATAAGTTTATTTAGGTTTTGTATTAGCTTTAATGTGTATAATTTGCAATATAACTGAATTTTAGTGTTAATTATGGTTATATAAATATTGAATGTAACTGAAGTTTAATGAAATAAATATTTTATTATAATAAACAGTTTTATTAAATATTATATACCTGTCGACAGTATTAAAAAACAAGACATTTTCTATGAATATCCTACGAAATAAGATAAACAAATTATTTTTGCTAGGAAAGGTTAATGTTAAACAAAAAATTCTTGTTTGAACAAAAAAAAATTAAACGAATAACGGCGCCGTAGAGCGTTTAAGCGTACATAAGCGATGGATTAATAAAAATATGCACGTTTGTCCTCGCACAATAAAAACTTGCTTGGGTTGAGCTTGCTCTTCCTCTCGCTTTCAGCAGAACGGTGGTCGTTGGCCGCCACTGCCAGTACGCAATCAAACACAGTGCGCGCGTACCGTGCGCCATATTGCTTTTCACGTTGTCATGTCAACCGTGTGCTTACAATAAACGCGGGAGTTTTAAAAGTGTTGTGTTAGTTGATTATTTAATTATCACTGTGATAAGTAAGTACACATTAACTAATTAATATAGAAATATAATCAGTGTAATTGTAAATACACATATATTGTTATTATAAAGATAAAAATAAGCGGGAGGTAAAAATACCACATTGTTATCAAAACGAGTTTAAAAGAGGTCTTGACATGATTTTTTTACATAATACAATGTAATCTTTTAAGTCGCTAAAGTTCTTGCAGTAATGTTGCTTTATCTGTAAAGTTATTGTTTGAATTTAAAATCAGTTTTCCTTGTTAATATTTTTACGAATCGATAGCAAATATCTCAAAATATAATTTCTGGGTACTGTAAAAAATATATATTATTTTGTATATGACATTATTTTTTGACTTAGTAATTTTAGTTTTTCCATTACATAGATTAAAAAAAAGTAGAATAAATATTAATAATTTAACTCCAGGGAGGAATAGATGCCAAAATATATCACACAACAGTTTTTCTACCTCTTATAAAACTTGTATACATACATTTAATTTTTTACATTATGAAAGCAAAATAATTTAAAAAAAGGTTTCCTAACATACATCTACAACAAATTTTTTGATTGCATAAAATATAATCGGTTTAATAAAGGGTTTTAACTCATAGGTAAATGAATACTAGATACTAGAAAAAATAAATATACGAAAAATAAATATTTTTAGCATGGCATAAATTCAGATTAGCCGTAAATAACACAAAAACCGGTTGCATAGTCGACGTATAAGTGTTGCATTAGTAATGCAACATTCAACATTGTTTTTAAAGGAGATCTGTGTTCCGCCAGGTTTCGTTTAGAAATCAAGTATCCGTAACAATAAAATCAAGATTTGTTGCTTGTCAGTGTTGGGATAGGTTAATGAGCAGTTATTATGTGATATAATTATTGTTATTTATATAAAGACTTATGTTCGTTACTTTAGTTTGAGTAATTTAACCCAACTAAAGATAGAATAAAATTATTATGGTTTTTTATATTATTCCTAAAAAAATGGATTACTAGAGTCCTTGTCATATACAGGGTGACTGGTGAATTACTATCAATATTTAAGGAGAATACTCGGTACATGATTCTCATTCGAATTATGTAAAAAAAATAGGTACTTAATTTTTGCACAATTTCCGTATAAATAAATAATGTGTGGACACGTTCCAAGTGTTCCAAGTGTGGACGCGTGTGGCGGCGTGCTGATACAACACCACGCCGCCGCATGCGTGTGTGTGTGTGTGTGTGTGTGTGTGTGTGTGTGTGTGTGTGTGTGTGTATACCTAATCTGTAGGGTGTTCACACGATGCGTAATTAATTTCATAACTTTTGGTTAACTTTACTCAGAAGTTTATTAATATTTATGTCATATTAATTTTTATTTTGTCATATATGATCGTCAAATATCACGTCCTCAAATATCGATAGTAATTCACCAGTCACCTGTATACTATTATTTACTTTTGTTTAGTGCTCGTACATAGTCATTTAATATTTTGAGTATATCCAAATTTTTTCCTTCTTCCTTTACTTATAGATTTCTGTATTATTGGATTTCTATAAAAGAAATTTTTCGCAAGCACAATAATTTCTATATAATTTAATAAATTTCTAAACATGAAAAAACTCAATGTTCTGCTTATGAGTGAAAACTGAAATTAAATAGCGGAACACTAATACAGTATTACGTAAATAGTTGTATACTTACTTGTAATTTTATCTCATTTAATATTTTCAAGATGTTTGCAATCATGCATGAACGCGTACATCCTTAAAGCCGACCTGAATAAAAAGGTACAGATTATATCTGTGTTGCATAATCGTTCAGAAACAAGTTTTTTGTTAATGCTAGATGTTTTGTTTGTATATGGTGTTACAAGGTAAGACAATTGTGTGGAATGATAGTTTATTTCTGAACCGGTTCAATTTCTTCCTGATTCAGGACTCGCTAGTGCAATTAACGTTTATGCATAATGCTCTGAAGTTATTAGATCGTGAGTGGAAAAACGCGATTTATGACTTTATTGGTGTTTAATTGATGGTACTTAGAAATGTTTCCAACTAATTTTACAAAAACTACATCCTAATAATAATAATAACAATAATATAAAGATGGGTTCACACATATATAGAGCAGATTTATTTGTGAATGTAGTATAATTATTAGAAGACAAGTACGCACGTTAGTAGGGTTGTATTACACTATCTAAGTATATGCAATAGAAAATTCTTGACCACTTTTCATTCTAATAGCCGCTTGAACTTAAAGTCCTAGAGTAATACTTACTTTTCTTTTTAAATAAGAAACATTATTTGTATCTGTGAAAATGATAATGAAATCTAAGTTAAAAAAAAGTATGCCTTGAAATATCAATCATTAATTCAAAAAGTTTATGCATGAAAATAAAATAATTAATTTTATAACATCATACACTTTAAACTCCCTACATTAAGATATTTTTCTGGATTTAAATAGTTTTTGTAAATCAAAATTTTGCTCAAAAATCACCTCAAAATTCTTGCTTAATATGATGCTTTGCACAACAAAGCAATGTCACGATAATTAACGGTTGCTTGTCAATTAGTTTTTCAATGAATGAAAACATTGTAAGTTTTAGTCCTAATCGTGTGACAAAGTGTACTCCCACGGCTCTACAGACTAATATACGGTTTCCTAATTGATCAAACTAATTATAATGCAAAAATAGCAATACTATTTATTGACACTTGCGTAATATTCACACAATTTTGTATAAGAAATGTCGCCTATGTTGACCGGCTCGGCGAAATGTTAGGCTCGGATTGAATGTAATTTTATGAACATTTTAAATAAATCAGACTGTCTAAATAAGTACTATTTATTTCAAAAGTCGTTCAGTATGCTTAATAAAAAATTGCATAATAGAATTAAAGTACGGAGCGTTAAAGTATTTCATTCACAAATCTCGTTGATTGTTCTTGTAAAGTCTCTCTTTTCATTTGAAATGAATAACACTTCATAGTTCATACGTAGTATGGTGATGCTTACTATTGGTAAGCGAACAGAAGATGGATCGAAATTCTTGGACGATAAAGCGACCTCAATGTCTTTAATAATGAAATGAAGGCAATGTTTAAAAAAGATATGATTTTTAGGGATAAATTTCGGTTTACACAAAATCTCTCCACATAGAAAAGTTTATAGTGACAACTGACAAAGATGAAAGTATGAGAAATAAATCTAAGGCTTTATCAATAGATAAGTATCCAACAGAGAGGAATTCTAAAGTAAGAAGGAAAGAAATGTTCAAAATAATGCCAATATCAGATGCGACTATACCACAAGGCACAAGTTTCCATTGACACACTATTTACGGAGAGTTTCCAGTTTTTGCATCTGCAACGTACATGGATGCTATCTTCTGTGAAGATTTAGTGTGACAATGGAAACTCGTAATAAGTCCCAAAATAAAAGAACTTCGATAATGCATTCAATGTAAAGTGAAGAGTATTTGAAATTTCGATATCACGATAATTCTATTGATGCTGCAGAAAGTTATATAAATAGAGAATTATAATTGTCTAAACAATAAATTCTACAATGATAGTTTTTACTAGATCTGGCGATCAAATAATGTTTCATAACAAAGTATGCCTATTAAAGTACTTAGTGCTTATTTTATTTCGATAAAATTTGAAAGTCTTTATTAATGAATAATAATATTTTTGAAAAATATTTCAAATTAACATCAGTAAATAATTATGTATTTTGTTTTCTCGCTTGTTTTGATGATTTGTATAGGTATTGAATGATTTAATATAAGGTAGCCTTAATTCGTAACAGGTAGTGTATTGATAGTAAAATAGAAGACTTAAAATC